AACAAAAATTATTTGCGTGCTGAGCTGCCTTATTTCACTGGCGCGCAATTAAATTTCGCTTTTCGCTGCATACGTGCAGGAAATGGACCTGCGCTGAAAGTGAATGCCAATCTGTCGACTTAATACTATTCATTTAAGAGCTCTGGGTTTTTCGAGGGTCCGGAATATTTACAACATTCGAATATTTGTTAGTCTTTTATTTCATGCATACATAATGTTCATATGTACATACCGTAATTGTATACATACGGGCTCATCCGTTAACTTGAAAGTCGCGGACCCGAATTCCCAACTCTTGCACGTATCTCCTCGACGGCACACACACAGGTCTAATGTGGTCTTCACACATGTGTGTCAGATGGATTTAAAATTAGCATTTGCTACTATTACACATTGCAATGTTTTGTGAACTTTTGTAACAACCTTTTGCACTTTGGTCTTGTGCTTGGATTTGTGTAAAGGTCGGCGCTAACGTAATCCAATTACTATTGATTGCTCTGGCTGTTGTAATCAATATCATTTAAATTTATCAAAAGAAGAAGATATGTTGCAGAGAGTTGAAAAAGCTAGCAACAATTTTGGTGTCGAATAGAACCAAACAAAACAATACACTTTTTATACCCTGTACACAAAGGAACACACAGGAGGAGGCGTGGCAGACCCCACAAAGTATATATATTCTTGATCAGCATGACAAACCGAGTCGATATAGCCATGTCCGTCTGTCCGTCTGTCTGTCCGTCTGTCTGTCTGTATGAACGCAAGGATCTCAGAAAGTATAAGAGCTAGAATAACCAAACTTGGTATACAGATTCTCCTGAGCCCGAGAAAGGACGAGTTTGTTCATTTTTTCTGATCCACCCCCCCCCCCACTCACCCCTATTAACGATTTTCTATAACACCCGTAATTCTTGGAATTTCGAACTAAAAGTTGGTAGTCACATTAGTTAGTCATTATATATCCGCATACCAAGTTTCATTATGATAGAATGATCGGAAAGAAAGTTATAGCCATATAGCCAGGCCCAATGCACACATGCATACATATGTACAAGTACACAAACACGCATAGGCACGATTCTGATGTAAATGTAAATGAATGTATGCATGCATGGAATATTTTATATTTAATTTAGTTAATTAATTAAATTAATTTTGTTAATTAATTTAATTAAATTACCTTGATACAAAAACTTGTCTTCTGGGAGCTATAACAGTGAGAGACGGGGGCTGAGGCAGAGCAGTAACTGACGCACAAACTGCAGCTCGTGATGAGACTGCGGGGGAAATTGCAGAAAATTGTATGGAGGAAATTTCAAACAAATTTCCAGTGGAAGCAGACAACGAGATTGCTGGCGATAGATCAAGATCTACTGGAGAACTTGGGCGTAATGAGGTTGACGGCGCCGAGCAAGGCGGTACCTTAAGAAATTGAGGCTCTAACCTACGTTTGGGCGGAGACACAAACTTATATTGACTAAGCGACTGTTCTCCAGAGTCGAACTCAGTTGAAAGTTGCTTAGTTAACTTTTGCAATTTTAAAAACAACAACAGAAGGCTGAGTGAGAGCAAAGTGCACAATGAGAGGGCGTTTCCAATAAACGGACTACACATATGATACTGAATTTTTGCTAAGGTTTCCAGTGGAAACTGCACTAAATAGACTAAATGGATCGCCATGTAGTATATATCATATTGCAATTTAAGGCTCGTTTGCCCATACTACTCAAGTGTTTCAGACTCGGTTTGAATAATCCGGCTTAAAAAGTAAAGTTATAGCTTCTTGTATTGGAACTAAGGTGGGCCCATCATCGTGAAATTGGTTGGTTAATTGTGAATACACCCTCAAATACTTGTACATATGAAGAAATTTGCTAGGAATAAACCATCTCATTTCCACACCACCACTGAGGTAGAGATGTTGGCGCGTTTTTTTTAACGTGGTCTCCCCTGTAGGCCTAATCCACGGAGCGACAAGGAGCTGTCGAATTCTCATTTCTTCGTCACTTCTACGTTCACTTAATGTTTTTCTGATAGTCTCCTTCTAAAATTTGTTTTTAGTCTGGCACTGCTCTTTTCCAATTAGTCGTCCAACGCGCTCTCCTCAACCGGCTCACCAGCAACCAAACGGTGCAACGCGACGACTAATTCGTTGACATCATAAGGAGCAAGCGAAATAGCCCTATCTACACGTTCCAATAGCTCGGCATTCACCGGAGTTGGGCGACTTTGTGTAGTCGTGGCAGCTGGCTTTGCGTTCCCAGGTCGAGCGTTCTGTGGCCTACGTCGCGTCTCGTCCTCATCCCCATCCATAGAACATGTTGGCGAGTCCGGCAATGGCACATATCGTGCCTCAGAGCAGAACGTGGAGGGAGATTCTTGCCTTTTCCGACGTCTCGCTAGCTGTTGTAAGCGTGGCCGTGTTTCTGCCTGAGCAGGTGGGAAGCGTCGTATCTGTCCCTGTCGCGGTTGATCATTTATGGCACATTGCGATCGAAATGTGGACGGTGCCGCCGACATGGAGCGTCCATTGCGAGTGGCGGTGCTATTCGACTCTCTAGAGTTGGATGCCACCGATGACATCCCGAGTGCCGTGTGGAAAAGTCCCCGCCGATTCGGGGGGCAATACTGCCTATTCGTGCTGAATGTCTCAGATCGCGTTTCGGACTGTGCACGACCCGTTTTGTCGACACGTGAGACACTGCGGAGTTGTCTTGTTGCGTTGCTATTGGCCGATAATCGCAGCTTCATGCTCATGCTGTCGGATTCCTGAGCTACTCGCGCGTTGCGACCACAATCTTGCCAGCCTGGGGTAACGTACATGCCTATGGGCATATGGTTACGCACCACCAGGGGATCGTATGGATTGTTGGTCTTGTTGCACTGGAAAAACTTGTAGAACCATTGCAGAAACTCCTGGTTCCCCTTCCCCTCCGTAAGCTCCGTAACCGGTATGTCCTTTGTGACGTTAATTTGATCAAAAGCGGCCTGCAGTACCTTGAAGTTTTTCACAAACTCAAATTCAAGATTGCTCACTAAGCGCACCTTGTGCATGGAAACACTAAATGGGAAGAGGCAGTGCATCAGCTGGCAATAAACAGCGCCGGTTCGCAACTGATCTACTGCCTCGATGTTGCAACAAAGGGTCTCGTTTACCCACTTGAGTAGATTACGCAACGAAACTTTGTCTTCCTTGGTTAACACTACATTTCGGGCGAGTTGAATAGAGCGGTCCATTATAAGCAAATCCGTGACCTAATTTATTTTTATTGAAACGTAGAAAGTTTTTATAAGATCTTTTGAGTCTTAACCAATGCACCCGAAATTTTGACTATATAAAACACTTGTAATGCGCGAATTTCCGACAGGCTGTCCTTGTTAATGTTAATGTTAAAGATCTACAAAGTGTTGCCTACCGAGTAAAAGTATTGCAATTGAAACGACTTTCTGTTAAAAAAAATATACCGAAACTGAAGTAAGAAGAAATGGGTGCTAAACCAAACCAATTATGTAAATGATCCCTGATCGTAATTCTGTTTTTACACGGTCTTTTTTACACGACTTTTTTAGGAACCAATCTACCGTGTAAAAACAGAATTAGGTGTACATAAGCCATAAATAAGTCAGAAAGACAATAAAAACAGTCTGTCCTAGCAGAGGGTGATATGATATATGGATCACCAGAGCTTCAAATCACGCAATAAAATTTATTTAAACTTTAATTAATAGCACTAATTCAAGCATTAGCTCTGAAAAATTATAATTAAGTGTAGCAAAAGTCAAAATTTGTAAAAAAAAAAAAAACGGTCCAACGTTTTAGACATATTATGCACCGAATAGGTTACAGAAGTTTGACGTTATTACATTTTGGAAATGTCATTCTCTACCTTCTTAGGTTAGTCTTGTGTACGTTCTCAGAGTATACACTACGAGTAATATTTATACAGCTATGTTTATTCTGTGGAAGCATATGCTTAGCATATTCTAGGATGATATAGTGCCTTATTTTTCTCGAGTGTACCCATTTTGATGGCATACAGGCAGTTATGCGTTCAGGCGGACTTATCTAAATCGAATCATCATGCCGATCAAATAATATGTCTGTATAATTGAATATAAACTATGTATCCATATAACTGTTGTTGGTCTTACACATCAATACAAAACAAGATAGAACGCTACAGTCGAGCAAGCCCGACAGTAAAATAGCCTGTACTCTCCACAAAAAAAGAAAAATTAAAAAAAAAAATTTAAAAAAAAAATTAAATTATTAAAAAAAATTAATGAATTAATTAATTAAATTAAATTAGAATATATGTTTATGTTTAGTTTTAACAGCATACATTTACATCACGTACCTATGCGTGTTTATATGCGTGTATGTATGCAGCACAAAGTTGAACCAAAGCAGCAACAACAACAACAGCTGCGGGCAGCGCTGCCGACAGAGGCAGCGCATGAGCAGCGATTTTACGTATGGCTATAACTTTCTTCAGAATTGACCTATCATGATGAAATTTGACACACGGACACATTAGTACTAACTGGATGTACCTACCAAAATTGATTTCAAAATTCCGAGAATTACGGAAGTTATAAGAAAAAACACGAATTGCGGGGGAGTGGGGGGGTGCATCGAAAAAAAACTCAAACTCGTACTTTCTCGGTCTTAGGAGAATATGGAAACCAAGTTTGGTTATTCTAGCTCTTATACTTTCTGAGATCCTTGCGTTCATACGGACAGACGGACAGACAGACGGACAGACGGACAGACAGACGGACAGACGGACGGACGGACAAGGCTATATCGACTCGGCTTCTCATCCTGATCAAGAATATATATACTTTGTGGGGTCTGCCACGCCTCCTTCTGTGTGTTACATACATGCGCACAAAACTAGTATAGCCTTTCACCCTTTGGGTACAGGCTATAACAATGCTTCAATAGTTGAATAATTAAAAGTCTCTTTTCTTTCAGACAATCCCATGAAATTTTAAACTTGTATCAGACCAGGTGTTGTCGCAAACCTGTAAAAGAAAAATAAAGCAGATGATACTTAGTTGTATTTTAACGTGGATTTTTAAAAATACAATAAGAGCAAATCAATAATCAAACGAAGCCTACAACACAATGTCCAACGTGAGTTCACATAAAATTGTCATAAAACATAATTCTTCTAAATGTTCAAACACAAGTTCTCTAATTTCTTAATTTAAACTGTGACAAATTGTAATCTATGTCGTTTGCAATTGGCATTGAACAAATTATAAGGAATTGGTAGAAACTAGTGAATTCCTAGAATTCAATCAACTAATTTCAAATATTTTACAGCTACTCTACATGGACGAGTCGAATGGCAATGGCGTGTACGCGGCCAAGTCTGTTAGCGGCATCATTGACAATTGTGTAGGAACCTCACCGAACACAGCATCAATCATGGCCCAAAATATAAACATCGTGAATGGCAGTGTGGCGGCCACAATACCCACATCCGTTTCTAGCGAGGACCTCAGCCAAAGCCTATCCGAATACACAGATGCCGACGAAAGCATGTCAGCCCCGACCGAATTTCTCGCTGAGGTAACAACATTTTTCCGCCGTCCTTGCAAAACCCGACTCAAAAAGTACAAATAAATAACAATATATAGTATGTACTCGTATAGTATGTTCATCCAAATTGCTCCATTGCCAACATCGACCTTTATTTCATTTAAATCCTTTCAAAATAATATTGACTGCGTGCCGTTGTTTGGCTCGGTCTGTTGTGCAGCAGCTTTTCGGATGTTTTGAGTCGCGATTAACCTTGATTCCATCTTATAATTTTTTTTTATCCATAATGTGTATTATTCGTAATGTGGGCCAATGGCACGAATCCTTTGTTTGCTGATAACTTTGTTAGATTTAGGATATTCTAAAGCACTTCTCGACTCATTTCACGCATTGTTTTGCAGTTTCTTTCGGCCGTGATGCTCAAGGACTACAAAAAGGCATTAAAGTACTGCAAACTGAGTGAGTATATAGGAAATGACGTGCGAGGACCAGAAAACTAACTAACTAACTTTTAATATGCCCGTAGTTTTGCAATACGAACCAAATAATGCCACGGCCAAAGAATTTTATCCACTTATTCTGGATAAATTGAGGGGTAAGTATTTAAATTATCCGTTTCAAACCCATACCCAATTAGTTATGGGTTTTTCCGTTTGGGTCGGAGTAGTTGCTGCATCTACCGACAGCGATGAGAACTATAATAAATCTTCATCTCCGGAACTTGCATTGGAGCAGCAGTGCTCAGATCCTTCGACAGGCGAGAGCGATGAGGCCGGCTGCGATGAGCTGCAAAGTCAGCACGACTCTCAAGCTATCAGCAGCAATAGTAGTTGCAACAATTGCTGCTCCGAGGAGCCGTTAAGTCTCAGTGAATGCGAGGATGATGACGAGGGAGAGGCACTGGACGAGGACGATGACGACGATGACGATGACGACGACGACGACGACGAAATAGATGACGATGTCATGAGCAGCAGTGGCGATGACCTACCAATAGACGAGCAGCAAGATGCGGGCGATGTTGGTGGCCTTGCGACAACATCACACAATGGCTCCGGCTCCTCCCGCAACTCCTCGAGCGGAGGTGGAGGGCGTAGCGATAACACAACGCATTCATACTCCAGTCTACTACTCGAGGAAGAGGAAGACGATATAGTGCCAGTGAGCTTGCACTTTCACTCCAGAGAGACAACGGCGGCGGACTTGGATGTGAGCAATGGTGGGTATTCTAGTTTTCCCATAAATAAATGCGACATGGTTCTACACTCAGCTTTTTTCCATGTGCAATTTCAGGTAACAAAGTACCCTCGGCCTCGTGCAGTGACTCGGAGTCCCCAACAGAGCCGCTAACACAACGGTTGGCCGCCATTTTGCGATCCAAATGCGGTGTTGGTGACAATTACTGAGCGAAGGAGCATGTGTTTTTTATTTATACACTCGTCTCTACCTATTAAAATGTAATTGTATAATCTTGCATACTCAAGAACAAGGGCTATATGTATGTACACTTAACTTATCATGTTCTCTAACAATTTTACAACTTGGTTTGTCCGCGTACTCCAAGCTCTGACTAGTATTTTCGCTTTTTATACCTAGAAACCGTCCTTAAATGTGTATTTCTACCTTGCTCTACCCAGCCGCATACTCTTCTTATACCCGTAAGTAAATCCCCTAGACAAACATATCGTACAAACTATATATAAACACATCCATGCATACATTATTAATATGAAAAAAAAAAAAAACAAAATGTATGTGAAACCCAGAGAATAAAGCTCTATTAGTCCCAGAGCTAGGCATACCTAATAGTTGAAAGGGCAAACCCAATACACACACACAAATATTGCTCTGACGTATACACATATACACACAACACACTTACACACACATGTAGCTTTTATAAATAAAATATATTTTAGGAAGAGACCTATGTAAAACGCACAGGACTTAGAATGTTGTTGCCGAACTTTATTATAAAATATTTTATAGATGCCCATTTTTCCAAGCTGCATATAGCAACAATTTATACTTAGTATTACTTTATAGAGTGGCACGTTGTATAAGTCTGATAACACGGAACGGAATGTAGGTAACATGGTGAATCTGAAGTACATATACGGGTACTTGAACACAATGTTTAGGGTACTCGTATTGCAAATAATATTACAACTGAAATGGTCCAAAGTCATACACTAAATAACACTATATTATTATAGTTTTCATCAAGCTCCTAAACATTATATGCATACCATACTGTAAAGAATATATCAAGTATCCTACGGGCTAGTTTGTTGGACAACATCTCTAGCGTTCAGGGTTGATTGGTAGCATTAGCAATACCCTTCGGGTTCGGAGTTTTCAAACAAAAGCGTAACTTCTGACCGAACGTTTTCTGAAAATTATGAAACATTAAATAATAATTCTCCTTGTAGTTATAAACACAAAATTAACAAAACAGAAGGAAAATGAGTCTTTATTTTTGTTCAGTCGATATTGGAGCAAGCCCATTCAAATATTTTATTCAATTTATGTTTTTATACCCTATATCCAAAGTGTGGAAAGGTATACCAGTTTTTAAATAAAATATTGCATATAAACCAAGGCACAACCAATCGTGAACGCTTTCGAGTACTAACTTGCTTTATGATGAGCGAAAAACTTGAATATATGGGATGAAAACGACACATAAACATTCATTAATTTTCGTACCCAAACAGTTATGATATCGACCCTTTCAAAAATGGCTTGCACTTAAAGTGTTATAACCCAACTCGGAAAGCAAAAAGGTCTACATCATCATCAAACGGCGGAAGACATTGACGACGTGAAAATATATATATATATATATATATATATATATATATATATATATATAGATATATATATATATATATATATATATATATATATATATATATATATATATATATATATATATATATATATATACATATAAACATATACTTAAAATAATACTACAACATTATTATGTAAGCCTGCAGTTTGATTAATTGAATATTGTATCATGGTGACATCAAATTACATTGTATTATTTTCTGATCTGTTTAACGTATTTGTATATAATGTACTTATATTATTCAATAAAAGGAACAGAAAGCAAGAAATACATATATGGTTTTCATTCGGGGGATTTGACAAGTACTTGGTTTGAATCTCTGAAAAAATATTCAAAATTAATTTTTAATGGTTGTATCGTCCATTTTAGAAGTTAAAAAATGAAATCGAAAAGCCTGAATATGTTTTGTTAAATATCGTCTTTAATACTTTGCTTCAGAAATGTACTCAAATCAATGGAGCACCCAGATTATTATCGACTTAGAAAACTGTCATTCCAATAATCAAGGATTAAATCGGGACAATACCAGTGTGATCGGATGCCATAGACCCCCCTAAAAATAAATGGAGCCTGAATTTGTCTCCAAATGTGTCACATCAATATTCTTTAAGAACAAGGTTTTATTATAAATACTATCCCCCTAATTTCCAATAGAATATGTGTTTAAGTATGTATTAGTTAAGTCTTAATATTCTATGCGGTTTATATCATCTGACCCCTCTTTGTGTAATCCTTCAGGGATAAAAAGTATTGTTCTCTTTCGCTGTTCTTGTGCTGCATTGTTATGCAGTTTGTAGAATGTATAATTTTTTCTTTTTCATGTTCTCTTTACTATTTTAATTTAGAAGAATTTAAATCTGAAGCAATTTCTCTTATAACAGATGCAAGCTTAACAAAGCATCAGGTAAATCATACAGCTGAACAGATTCTGGAGATATAGTTTTTACTACCCAACATATTTCTTCCTGCTATCATTGCATTATGTGAAATAATACTTATCAATGAAAGAATTATGTCGCTCATTTAATGGACTTTAAAAGGTAAATACGCGTAACTATCATTTCGGAGGCACTCATTTCTTTACGCAGGTGTAACGTATATTAAGATATTAATTTGTGTTTAAGTGTTCTGAGAGTGTCTACAGGGCTCAAGTATTTATCAGTTTGAAAAGGACCAAGATCTTTGTTAAATACGCCCACACCCAATTGTGGTACACATATGTGTGTGCTGGAATTTTTCGCATGTGTCCAACACTATATACATATATATATTAGTATGAGGGATAGTAGACTTTAGATTTTTATACCCTGTACCCAAAGGGTAAAAGGATATATTAGTTTTGTGCGAGTGTACATGTAACACACAGAAGGAGGCGTGGCAGATCCCATAAAGTCTATATATTCTTGATCAGGATGACATACCGTCTGCCTGTATGAACGCAAGGATCTCAGAAAGTATAAGACCTAGAATAACCAAACTTGGTATCCAGATTCTCCTAAGCCCAAGAAAGGGCAAGTTTGCTTATTTTTTCCGATATGCCCCCCCCCCTTTTCCCCGCTATTCACGATTTTCTATAGCTCCCGTTATTCATGGAATTTTAAACTAAAATAGTGATTATATATCCGTATCCCAAGTTTTATTATGATAAATTGATTAGAAAAAAAGTTATAGCCATATAACCAGGCCCAAGTTCTGTCCGCAGCCGTATTTGTTGCTGCTTTGACATAATTATGTAATGCACACATACATATGTACAAGTACACAAACACTCATAGACAGGATTGTGATGTAAATGTAAATGTATTTATGCATATATGGAATATTATATGTTTAATTTAATTTAATTCATTAATAATATAGGGTATTTAAGAGTTGAGCCTGCTCGGCTTTAGCATTCCTTTCTTATTTTATACTCTGTACATGAAATGTACAAGGTAAAATTGTACAATTTTTTTAGTTTTTTTAATTCTCGAATTTGTATACCCTGTACCCAAAGAATATACTGTTTTATGCGAATATATGTAACATACAGAAGGAGGCGTGGCTGACCCCACAAAGTATATATATTCTTGATCATCATGTCAAGTCGATCTACATATGTGTGCCTGTCCGTATGAACACCTCATCTCATCTCAGAGACTATAAGAGATAGAGACACAAAACTTTGCACTTCGTGCCACGCGTGGGCCCGCGTGTTCGTGTTGTAAATTCCGATTTCGTGCGTGGCCGTGCGTGTTCGTGTTGAGCCAAGAAGGCACGACAATACACGCACGAGGAAACACGAAAGAACACTAAAATCGATGCTAGCTGAAATAAATGATAGCTTAAATAACTATTTAACACTTGAATCAGAAAACGAAGCACCCAATAGTCAACACGACTTTTCTGAATTTTTGGACACTAATAATTCAAAAAAAAAATTAAATTGGACAGGTCAAGAATGGATATTGAAATAGATGACTATATAAGTAGTGTTGTTGATCCAGGAATTTGTGTGCTAACATTCTGGAAAAAAGCAACAAAATTTAAAATGCTAAAGCAATTATCAAGGCATATACTCAATATCCCTGTCAGCTCTGCAACAAGCGAACGAGTTTTTTCCACTTCTGGACATATTTTAAATGAGCGACGTACTCGGCTTCTTAGCTCAAATATTGATAAGATAATCTTTCTGAATAAAAATTTGTAATGTTTATATATATATATATATATTTTTTTTAATTTTTATATTTAATATATAAAAAGTTCGTTTTGGGCCGTGTTAAGAAAAATTTTCGTCGTGCGTGCGCGTGCGTGTTTCTAAAAGTTAATTTCGTGGCCGTGTCGTGTCGGGCCGAAAATAGCCGGCCCGTGCCCATCTCTACTTTGCACTGTATGTTACATACTTTGCACCAACCTAATATAGCCTTTTTACCCTGCGGGTACAGGGTATAAAAAACCTACACTACTCGTATATTAATTTTTGAAGTTATGAAAACCGTAACAAATAACCACAAACACATAAGTAGATATGCTGATTCCCCTGATTCAAGTGGAAAAAAACATTGGCTCAAGTCAAATTTCAAACATTTCCTTAGCATTTATTTTAAGTCCATTACTATTAAAGAACAATTAATTTAAATTTTTCATAAACACGAAATGCTGTGAAATATATTATACATTTTATTATATGTATTTTGTTTAATTATATGTTTTCATAAAACTTGTATGCCGTTGAGAATTTGATGTTTTAAAAACATTTTATTCATTTTTTGCTTTGCGATTTCATATGTGAAAAACATACATATGTATATAAGTACTATATTATTTGGTTTTCATTTTTAACTGCTCTGTCTGTCTGCCGGGCTGGCTGTATTTATAAATAGCTACGCATATAAAATTGTGTAAGGGACATTCGAGCAGATATAAATTATTGTTGGCTTGTTGATTCAACTTCGATCTTATTTTTCGACTCCTCGTACCATTTGTCCGTGTGACATTTTGATATGTAATGGCTACGATAATCAATTTTTAAGTTTTATAAATTCTGTATCTGTTTATCATTCAATAGCTGATCTATTATAGTTGTGTTTCGCAACTTTGTCAATTATTTGGTACGATAAAATAAAATTGACAGCACCATAAGAAATTTAAAATAAAAAGTTAGATACATTACGATTCCTTACTACATGTAAGAATCATAACTCAGCTATTTAGAAATAATAGTAAATTCAGTATGTTTTCTGTAATGCAAATCAGGTAGTGAAGCATTATTTGTATTGCGAAACTATTTTAATTATTTTGAATGCGTCTTGTCTCTTTCTTAGAAAATGTGTACCTATGTATACCTATTTTTCACTTAAGAAATTAATTTGTTTTTTCATCTTTGAAATTTATATATGCATACAAGTACATTTTTGATTGATGTTAAATACATATGTACGCAGGGTGTTCAATTCGGGAACGAGCAAGCGGCTTGTTAAAACTATCGTTGCCTTAGCATACTGCTATAGACGTAACAATATTAATACTTTAACATGCTTATTTAAGTAGTCCGATGAATTTTTGTAAATTATGTATACAATATGTTTGTTAAACATATTACTGCTTACCCACGGAAAGTTGAAAGTTTACATGTATACGTATATGAACTTATGCGCTTAAGTTACATTCTTTGTTAAAAGAAACTTTCATTTGAAAACATCAGGTTTTGCTTGTACTGTTCAGTAGAATTGCATTTAAATTTTACTTCTATCTTTAAATATATATATATGCTGGAAAAATTAAACCATCGTACAAACATATGTATATGTGTGTATGTTGCTCAAAAAATGTTTCCAAATACTTTACATGCGGGCTGCTATTGGCACAATTATGTACTTACAATTGACAATCGTCTAAAATTATAAAAAAACAAAACACATTAAAACTAAAAATCATTTATTCAAAGTCAAACTACTAAAAACACAAACAAACGATTGTGTGGAAAATACAAAATTGTATACATAAGCAAATAAGGAAAACAAAATTGAAACAATAAAAATAATAGCTTAAAGAACTTTGTGATTCCTTGAATTGCTAGGTTACTGTTAACAAAGGACTGTCCATTACAGATGTATAAACATTTATCATAAAAAATAGGTTTATGTACATAACATATGTAATGTTTCTAATAATTTCAACAGGATACATGAAAAAATGGGAAAGTGGCAAATAAAAAAGACATCTATCGGAATAAATCAGTCAATGAAGTAAATGAGAGGTGAACTATCCTACTATATAGACTTATATTAATTTTATTGGCGGCAAGAGCAGTTTACGTTTCAAAACCATTTGAGCACGATCTGGCTAATAAGTCGATTTTAAGACGTAAATTGAAATTGGCCGGCACACATCGTCTAAGTATTTGCTTATAGTTTGTTCTTTTAGCTTAGAACGATTAATATGTATGAACATGTTTGTCTGGGTATGTGTGTGTCTATTTGCATGCATGGATAAAGACGACTTTACAAAACTATAAGACTACGATACATTTCAAAATGTATGCACATATAAAAGCTGCATTAATCGAAACTTAAACTAAAAGCTGCCTTCGATTGGCGACAATGAGCGCAAAATCATCAAAAACATCAATCACTAAATCACAGCTCTTTACTTTCATTTAAGGGCTGTGATTTAGTACCTTTTCTATAAACAATTTGTGGATTCTTTTGCATCGTTAATATTTGTATGATTTTTAATCAGCAGCTGCGTAGTCGGGTACTTGTTCATTTGGGAGAACCGTTCCATAACACACGATGACGAGAGACGTGCCTCAGCATCATGATCCCAGCACTCCTCCATGGTGTCACAGAATATACTCAGACCCTATACATAAAGAAAGAGTTATTACACAGCGGTAGACAGAAAATTGAATTTATGCGTACCGGGTGTGAGCGCCATGAGTTTAATAGACGCGGCCTCAACTTCTTCATCACAACGCTCTCCTGCACTTCATCAAGGGTCGGACGCTGACCGAGCTACAAAAGAGAAGGAATACTGTGAAATTGTGCCACAAAAAAGAAGTTGCTAACGCAATTATCTTAACGAACTAGCAGGAATCCCGCAATGTGAGTTTGTCCAAAGTATACACTGGTTGGAATCATAAAAAAAATCTTTATTACTAACCTCGGCTTCAAATGGTAACTGAAAATCGCCCACCGGTCCGACGACATCACAGCGCGAAACCATTTCCCACAAGACCAAACCACAGGCATAGACATCGATGCGCAGAAAAGCATCGCGATTAAAATTGATAGCGCCCTCGAGAACTTCAGGCGCCATGTAGCGACGCGTGCCCACCTGTCCGTGTGTGTCACCGCATGGCTTTCCCGGCTGAAATATCATGGCTAAGCCGAAGTCGGCTATACAAGCGGTCAAATCTCCCTTTAGCAATACATTCTTCGACTTGAAATCACGATGCGCAATTGATGGTTTAAGACCCTCTGTTCTGCTGGCTGGTATCTCTTCATGCAAGTGAGCTAAACCGTTCGCCATAGACTCTGCAATGCGACATAGCTCCACCCAACTTATGGTATGAGATTTAAGATAGTCACAAAGTGAGCCATTATGCTGGTATGCTGATATAAGCCAGTATTCAGGCTTATCCAAGTGCTTTTCGTGGCCCAGGAACTCCAAAATGTTCGGGTGACGCATGCGTGGTAGCTTGTAGATTTCGTTTTCCGTGGTCCACGACTCCTTTTCTTGCATGCGAAATACCTTTACGGCCACATCCTGACCATGTAGCTTTGCCTGCCACACATCACCAAAGCGTCCGCTCGCCTTTTTCTCCAGCAATTGTATTGGACGATTGCTGAGCAGCGGAGAAGAATTTGTTATTTCTGCCTCATGCTGCGAAAAATTATGATACATTTTGTTCATGTTTTTGGATAGTTGTGCTTTTTACAAAAACTTACAGTTGGTATCTCATTGAAATGCGCCTGCTTGCGGCGTCTGTAGAAGATTAACGCCCCTATAAGAAAGATCGCACAAACGGTAGAAACTATGCTACCGATAATAATATATATCATATTGTTATTGTCCTGCGTCTTCTCTTTCGGCACTGCAAAGAATATTGAATACACATAAAATTAAAAACTGAAACAGCTGGATATGGTAGGAAAAATAACCAATTTAATTAACACTATCCTACTCAAAATACAGAGATTGCGCTATCGCTAATAGATTTGAGCACACTAAGAGGTTTTCTCAATAAAATGCATATTTCGGAAATAGAACGGATCTATCGTTATGAAAATATCACTTATATAACACAACGCCTTTAAATTTCGGCAATCCCATGTAAACACATACCTACAGGTTAACAGCATCTCAAGTGGCACCTGTAGTTTGAAACTGGGGTCGCATACATGTTAACCTGGCATATACATACATACATGCATACATACATATTTACATACATACATACTTACGTACTCATAGAGTAGGCAAAACGAAAAAACGAAAGTTCGCCCCCAATTCCTTTTTTCTGCCTTTTTCCCTTGTCGACATAACGGCGAGGTAAGCACAAAAACAAAACAACAAAGTGCACCGTACAAAAGGCATATGCAAATAAGGCAAGCATCGCAAAGGAAACGCCAGCAACACCCCATTAAACGTCGCGCCAAGCCGACTATTGAATACCCTGCACATGCTCTCCTCCCAACCACAGCCTTTTAACTAATATAAACTGGGTTGTACCAATTACTCCGAATGCAGCAATACGATATAATTAACTGTTCGAGATTACTACGAGACCCCTACTATAAAAATGGCAAGCTTGGTAAACAAAAATGTTATTTTACTAAGTAGGATTTACTTATAGTTCTGATTCAAAACTTTTCGGCGTTTATACAGACGAACTCCTGTGTGTACCACGCTTAAATACCTTCCCACTTTTTAGTATGCTCCTTCCACCTTCTGATAGGGATATTAAAAGAAATATTTAAAAAACAGGACTAGGTGGAAATGTGCAAAATGTATGCGCAGCCATGGAAGCACAGCCAGGTACTGAAATTGAAACACATGCAGCACTTGGCACTGCTGGTGATGGTGCCGCATTCGCCTAGTTGCTGTTGTTGCAACATCGGCAGGCATCGTCGGCAGCTCACGTCGGGAGTTCGTTAACACCAAAAACGCAGCTAGGGCCGAGTGGCGAAGGGATGGCCTGCTGCCATCAGCATCGCGAGTGCCTAAGTTGGTGATCCCCCATGCACATGCACATACACACAAACGAATATTTGTATATATATATATATGTATATATATATATATATTTATATATATATATATATATATATATATATATATATATATATATATGTATCAACAACAACCCTTAGATGCTCTGGGCGCAAGTTGAAGATGTAATGAAAGGAGGGAAGCAAATAGTAGAACAAAATTCAATGAAAAATTACCAAATAGGAAAAGCCTAAATTGAGGTTAACTCGAGCAAGAGTAGGGAATACTGGTTACCTTGCGTTGTTGCCTCCGTTGTGGTTGGAATATACTTCTGATCCGTGTTGCATAGCGAGCTCTTGCAGCAACAAAAGTGAATCCCGTTTTGGCGTGGTTTTTCGCCAGTAACGCACTCGGTCTGATTGCATTCGTGCATGTCCGTGAAGCAGCCCTTCATTTTGATTTTGGACTCACCTGCAGGTAGCCCCAAAGACGACACAAAAAAACAATCAAGAGAGTTGGAGATTTTGTGCGTGGACGACCACTTTTAAAACATACCTGTTAGAGCGTCGGAGGTCCACAGTACATAGCAGCTGGGATGCTTGTCTCCCTCGACCGGGCAACGCTTAATCGTTGTGGTACAACCATGGGGCACACTACTGCAATTCTTCTCGTCGTAGTGCATACAGTTAATGTTGTGCCCCTCGGGTAGGATGGCGCCATTGGTGTGCAGCAGCAGGCTACCTGATGTCGAAAAGAAATGGGACGAGAAAATACACCCACATGAGCACGCATTGTATAAATATACATTGTACAAAGGAAGGTTAAGCAGGGACATGCAAATATGTATAAGTTTGTTTAATTTGGGTAAGTGGGCTGGTCGATGGTGGTGCGCGCGGTGGATTTCTTTGTAAGCATATCACATTCTCGAACCGACCGAGCGACCATTCCACCAAACGAGCCAGCACCAATAGGCTTATGCTGCCTAGCCCAGGGATTGCGAGTGTTGCCATTGAAAGCAAAATGCAATGGGCCAATGATACCTGCTGTCCCTTCTGTCCTAAACAGCACACAGCGCATACATCCCCATTTCGTTCTCAGACTAAACAAAAGTAGCTCCATTGGCCAACGTTGTTGAACTGCATTCGAACAGACACAGGGCCAATGCATTCTACGCATTCTCTCGAATCTACGTTAATGAGTGTAAGTCTAGTAGAACATCTATAATTTATAAGTCATGTAGTATACTACAAAAAATAAACTTGTCCTTCCTAGGGCGTAGACCAACCAAGTTTAGTTTTCCCAGCTATCATACTTTCCGAGAACCTGATGTTCGTACACACAGACACACCGATATGATGTCAAATATATTTATTTTATTTTTGGAGGTACACACCGACTCCTTCTATGTGTTTCGAATTTCAAAATGTACGGTATTGAATACAAAAATATTCCCTTTTTTTGTTTTTGCTTTTTTTTTGCAGTTGGTAAAGGGTATTTAAGAGATAGTTGAAATTTCTCAACAAGTAGCAAATTACTTTGCCGTCTGTCCGACCGTATGATCACCTAGATCTGAGACACTATACAAGCTAAAGACACCAAATTTTGCACAAAGATGCCTTATGTGTGTACGCTATACGAGTTTGTTTTATTTTTCCGCCCACTTCCCCCTATGGGAGTTTTTCCGTAACGCCATTCGTATAATCACCTATATCTCGAAGACTATAAGACCTACGGACACCAAATTTTAGTCCAAGATGCCTTATGTGAATACTCAGAAAATGTGTATTTTGGAATTTCCCTTTCTCCCCCCCCCCCCCCCCCCCCCCTTCTCCCATGCAAATCGCGATGTTCTCTAACTCCCGTAATACTTGGAACTTCGAACTAAAATTTTGCAAATACCAACAGTTAGCAATTATATGTCCGTATGCCAAGTTTCATCAAGACCGAATTAACAAAAGTTATAGCCATAAATATATTTGCTGCTCCAGCGCTGCCCGCGGCTGTTGTTGATGTTGCTGTTTGGTTGACTGCTAACATGTTTACACAGACACGAATATATGCGCATAGGCATATGTACATACACTCACACAGACGCAATTGCTATGTATGTGCAATTATACACCCTTTAAGTTAGTACGAATACCAAAAGAGGTAAAATCACTCCAAAATTTTTTTTTTAATTCTCTTACTTTTTTTAATCTCTATAATTATTCTAAACATATGTACAGAGTATTTCAAAGTCGGGACACCCGACTTTAGCTTTTTTACTGGTTTTTTATTCGGATATTATTTATTATTATTATTATTTTATATTATTATTATTTTATATTATTATTATTTTATATTATTATTATTTTATATTATTATTATTTTATTTATATTATTTTTTATGAGTGATTTCCTGCCCATACCACGGGTTTGACCGAGACAACTAATTAACAACGTTTACTTGATTAGTAAAAACAAGTAAAAACGCTCAAGGATCAAGAAGGTACAAGAGCAAGAATTACCAAACTTGGTATCCAGGTTCCCCTAAGCCCTAGGCAGGTCAAATTTATTTTTTTATTCTGATACACCCCCCACACCCCCACTCCCCCACAATTCGTGTATTTTTTATAACTTCCGTAATTCTTGGAATTTTGAAATCAGTTTTAGTAGTTACGTCCAGTTAGTGCTTATGTGTCCGTATGCCAAGTTTCATCATTATAGGTCAATTCTGGAGAAAGTTATAGCCATAAATAAAATCGCTGCCCATGCTCTGCTTCCAGCGATGCCCGCAGCTATTGTTGTTGTTGCTGCTTTGGTTCAACTTTGTGCTGCATACATACACGCATATAAACACGCATAGACACTTGATGTAAATGTATAACTGTACATAAACATGTCTTCTATGTATGTATTAAATAAATTTTCTTAATATATGTTTAATAAATTAATTAAATTTTTTTTAATAATTTAATTTTTTTTTTTTTTGGGAGAGTACAGGCTATTTTTCTGTCGAGCTTGCTCGACTGTTGCGTTCTCTCTTGTTTTTATTCGCCTATGCTATTAAGACATCCCTCAATATATCGACATACTTCTCCCAAGTCACAATTCTCTCGATGCGGAATATGAGACCAAGTCCGTTTCATGAGAAACACTCTGAAATATTTATTTTTCCTCGACCATACTTGACGACAGTTGCACACACTTTGGATAAAGATTTACTACTTTTTTGCTTCGCATATATTTTCTACCAAGTCGGTTTATAATTATTTCATCAGTCCGGACTAAATATTTCCATTTGTTAAAAATTCAATCAACATGGGTTCCAGCGTCGTCGCCTTTGCGCAATTGTCACCATTTGCGCGATGCGTAAGTTTCGCCGATGGACCCAAGTCTTAACCAAACGACCAGCGACCGCATCTTAAGATATTGTTGCATCGTTTTGATACCAAAATTCAAGCTGGATGTCTACAGATCCCCTACGAGGATCCAAACAACCTTGCTATCCTTGTGCTTCGATGTTTTGCGTGGTCTCTTTTTGCGTGGAATATTTTCTATTGTGTCATACTTTTGAAAATGCTTACGATCATTGAAAACCATCTTTTTTAAGTAACTTAGGAATGTTGATATTGCCTGATAGGACATGCCAGGGTCCTGAAGCCCAAAATTGTTTTACATAGGGCCGGGGCACATCTTTTACCTTTTTCCATGATTGATTATATTTTCTATTGACCAAATTTGATTAAAATGCGTTCTCAGAACCATAATCTACAAAAACTTACTTGATTTGTATACAAATATACCAAAATTGCAAACATTTCAACATTTTTTGAAATCGTTGCTAATTAGCTGGCACGGCAGAAAAAATCACACAACTCCAAAATCGAAATTAATAATTGAACGTTGCCGCGCTTATTAAAACTGCGACACATTTATAAAAAGGAATAGTTAAAGAAGATATACATAAGTGGTGATTAGGTACCGTTAGATCAACTGTAGTTATTATGAGAGTCGAAGAATCCCTTCAATTCTAGTCGTTGTTAATTAGTTGTCAACAGCTGTATGTGTCCGTATGCCAAGTTTCAGTACGATAGGTTAATTATGAAGAAAGTTATGGCCATAAATATATTCTCTGACGAAGCTCTGCCCGCAGCTGTTGTTGTTGTTGCTGCGTAACGGCGTTACTCCCTATAGGGAGTGTAAGGGAAGGTACAGAGTATAAAATTCAAAAAATTACAATCAATCTACTATAGACTGCTAGTCCCTACGCAACACGAGTTTATTTTCTCTCCATTTAAAACTAGTATCAGGCCGAACGCAAAATACCATTTGCATAGTTATTAAAAAATAAATAGAAAAGAAGTTGATTCTAACAATTTCACCCCGAGCGTCTCCTCTAGAAAACCGGAGACTACATATATTTACTTACATGATTGTATGTATGTACATACATACTTATATGCATATGTAAGTAATTGTGATAGCAAAGTAGGCGCACAACAGTAAACATTACGCCCATTAGGAAAGGATGAGTTTAAAATAGCGGTGTTGGGAAAGAAATCAACAATGCAGAGAAAACAAAAGAGTCACAGGAATGCGCCCATAGCATATAGGGCTGACCAACTACTAGTGTTAGTGGCCAATACCATAATATATTCTCTCATAGAAATACGGTCTACAAAATGAAACATTCAAAAATAGTAGAAGTCGAAACATTGATAAATGTATGCAATGAACACAAAGTAGTGACATACACATAAAAATAGTAGTAGTATGTGAATGAGATAAAGCAGTTTCTGGTATAAGTAGGCGTAAAAACTACAAAGCACGCGCAGAGAGTAATGCACACACATGTACTTATTATACATACCCATTATGAGCTGCACCATTAGATAAAACTCAAAATCGTATTTGGACATTCCTGTGAACGATCTGTAACTTGTTTACCAATACACAATTCAATTTATACGTAACAGTGCACGCGCGTCAGATTACGGAGTTTTACTTTATTTTGGCACACAAATGCAGCTCGGTTTTATCAATTCTTTCTCTTAGCATTTACGACATACTTTTAACTTAAAGGTGGACTGCGATTGCACTAAAGACTGCACTTTTAACTTAAACACTATTGTTATAAATATGCATGTACATACATACTTTTGTATGTATTTTATTTCTCGCAGCTCTGGAGCTGGCTGCAGCGATGCGGACCACACGCTTTTTTTATGAGCATTTTCTTCTTATGCGTTTGCCACAATCACTTATTTTTTATCACATTGTAATTGAAGATTGCTGAATAGCGTTTTTACGTAGCAATTTAATAATTTGATTTCCTGACTTAATTCTCAAAGAATAAATGGTGCCTACAATAAAACTCAATGCGCAATTATATCGATATCAGTACATCGATATAAAAAAAATATGGTAGAAAGAACAACCGGGTTCGACCATCAGGTAGCACCAGCGTTAGTGGTGTGTACGTTGTATTTTTTGTTCGCTTTAAAATTTGCTGTCTAGTACCGTACATAAACTATGCACCAGCACATTTTAAGAATGAAATTAGAAACACCGAACAAATTCACAACAATTTTTAGTTTCAGCAACTCGCCATCAAACTCTTGTAACAACTAGTGCCGATTTTTGGCTAGTATTTATTGATGCTGCCAGATCGGCAATACATAAAAGGGGCTTCGGAACTTTACCGAAATTCAAATAACAAACAAACATTTTTGTTTATTGCCTGCAGTGTTATTTCGTAGCACGTTTTCCTACCTTTTTCTATTTGCCTGCTGAGTATTTCGACATTCTGATATCGAAGGTCAAAAGATACCGAAAAATGTAACCCAATTTGGTTGATACTGACCATAACATATATTTTTAAATGGCTGCTCATAAACAAAACCAGGTAGAAGAATGAAAAATGGCGTGGTACGCGAAAGCACCTAAGCAATCCATAAATTAACTGCTGCTTGGGATTCCACATTTTATACACAAGTCAAAAGCGTTCAGTCTTCTATTTCAGCTTTGATCTGGTTCAAACTAGATTTTGTATAAACAAAAATGTACCTCAGCTATTTTGCATAACTAACTTAACAATGAATATTACTTTACAAACTAATAAATCAATTAACTCTGGTTTCCAGCAACATAATATATAATTTTGATTTTCAAAAAGAACAATAATATTACAGTTAAAATCGAATGTCCTCATGGTAGGTTTCATGTTGTTATTAGGTCAACTCTTTACCCTTTTCTTATCTGCTGTATTGTTCGAAATCCGACGTCAATTTGTACATAAGAAAATGCTTATTAAAAATTAAAAAAAGTTTCAAAGTTAATAAATTTGTTATTGTATTTATTTATTTGTTTATTGTACTTCTTTTTTTAACGTGGGTAGTGGGAATCTTGCTAAAATTCGAATAAGATTATCTATGTATAGGAAATCTAACCGATAAACCTACAGTGCGTTCTCCGGCCTCAAATAATATAGTAATATTTTAGAACTTCTTAAGAATTTTAGTTTCTAACGGACAAGATAATGCATGGATGTGGAAAGAAAATGGAGTGCGGCACACAGGATCAGCCATTCTATTTATAAATTTAGGTGTGGAATTTATTTAAAACAAAGAAAGGTCAAGAAGATATACTGAGATGCACCAATTGTATTGAACTATTAGCATTCCATGATAGAAAACCTATTATCATTCACCACAATAAAAAGAAGAACCCATTTTATCAGTGTAGTACGCACCTCAACAAAAAAGTTTCAGAAATTTCTCCGTTGAAACAACCGATGAAACGTATAATATGATTTTTAATTTATTTCCTTGCATTGAGAACGGTAATCGAATACATGCAATCGATTTCAATTTTGTCACGACTGCGATAAACGCAATTAAATCGCTTAAAATGGTTCTTCCAGAATAGCAAAATAAGAATTATTTAAAAGTCTATGTATTATTATATAGCAACGAAATATTGATTTTACCTAGAAAAAGAAAAAGACCCTTCACATATGGATAGTAGTTAAGGAACAAACTATGTATATTTGTTATTTTAAATTCGCCAGGCCTTTGCTACTCGGGATTTCCCTGAGTTCATATGAGTAATTTTTTTGTCATTAAATTTAATTCTTTCAGTTATTATTATTTTGATTAGTATTAAACTATTTGCCGCTGCACTACCTTCTTTGTGTGGTAGTGTTGCCGAAAATAGTATTTTGGAACCATAAGTGATCTGTGATCCACATATTTTGGTATTTTATCACTTGCTATACATCAAACGTTTGAGTAGTCGCTTTTCGTAGAAAGTACCTAATCATTTCGCACATCTCTATTTTAAAGGTAAGACGCCAATAATAGCAGTTGAACTGTAATTGTAAGAAGTCTGACTTTTCTTTCAATTCATTGCCTAATTCCTAGCAACTTAAACAAGCTTCGCTTCAAAAGATTTGAAAACACATACATAATATTAAAACCCTTTATCATTTTGAGTATATTTAACTTTTTTGTTATTGTTTTACATAGTAACCGGAAACTTAACTGAAACAATATGACTGGCCGTGGTAAAGGTGGAAAAGGCTTGGGTAAAGGTGGCGCTAAGCGTCATCGCAAGGTGTTGCGTGATAATATCCAGGGAATAACTAAGCCTGCTATTCGCCGCTTGGCTCGTCGCGGTGGCGTCAAGCGCATTTCGGGCTTGATTTATGAAGAAACCCGTGGCGTCTTGAAGGCAAGTACACACAATTTTGTAAAAATTCTCAAACAATAATTATGCTGTTGGCAAACAGGTTTTCTTGGAAAACGTCATTCGCGATGCTGTTACCTACACTGAGCACGCCAAGCGCAAGACGGTCACTGCTATGGACGTTGTCTACGCCTTGAAACGCCAGGGACGCACTTTGTACGGATTCGGCGGTTAAATTCCCCCATTGGGTCCTCAAGTATATATCTCAACGCGCAGCGCCTGCAAAATTATGCATATACACATATATGAGTATTTTTAATCTTTTCACTTATATCACACCTACTGGAAACTAAATCATAAACATATTTGATGAAATTAAACCTCCATAATTCCAAAATTATGGCACACATAAGTGCATATCTAACGTACGTATGCATATACGTGTATAACTTCTATATTGGAATACGTAGAACAAATGTTGAATTTCACATACTAACTTAAAAATAAACCATTTCCTGAAGGCGCAAATGATGGACTTTTACTGAGGCTCTATTGGCACACCTTTATGGTATCGGTAACGATGTATTCAATTTGTACATGCGATTGATTAGAAACTAAATTAATTGTAGTTGCACACGTGCGACATTATACCTTAAACTAAAAATTTTGATGTGTTCTCTCTGTAAACAAACTTTAGTTTTGCGCCTTTGTGTAGGAAGTTGTCGCCCCGCAGAGCCTTCAACTGCCTGAAAATATTTGTTAGTGCTTGGATGTATTCATTACGTTCGGTCGGTTTTTTTTCTTTGAAGTTCCATGTACACGGCGCTGGGGGACAGAATCTGTTGAGTATCCTCATTATCTTCCTCTTGCAGGTCAACTTCACAACTTGTTAAATCGGATTTTTTGCGGCGCATGAAGACTTTCATGGGTCCGTATTTTTGTGACTGATCCCGCAAAGTAGCTCCCAGCTCCGAGTCTGAATTAACTAGCGTCGAATCCAAGGATGTGTCGTCTAATTCCTCAAGGCTCTTGTTCATATAGGAGTCAACATTCAAATCATTTACTGTCTGTAAATAGGCTTCTTGATTGGGGGTTTTATTCCCCCGTTTGGAACTAATTTCCCCACGTATTTGTGGATTATGATCGTCTCTGTTGAAGTCGGGGAGCAGGTTGTTTTTATGTCTCTTCTTACTGAATTTATTGGTCCCATTACGTTCCAACTCGATTGTGTTCTGAGACATTTGTCCATTCTTATTTTGGTAATCCGTTTCATTGTAGTTATGATAGTTGTTTCGATTCTTGTTCTCACTGTTATGCAGCTTTTGGGTTTCATTAATGTTGACACCATCTCCAATGTAGCCCCTTTCATAAGATATGTTCCCACGATGCATGCAACTATCTCCCATATCTGGTTCAGGGGATGCTGATGCCATGTAATTGTCGTGCTTTTTGAGCAAGGTTTTAGCTATACCATCTCCAATGTCCTCCCCTTGGTAACGATGCTGTTGGCCCAAAGCATACGGAATAGCGGATACACTGTTCCCGTCTCCGGCTCCACCACCATGACGTCTTTTTTCTAAATTGTTCACCATAACAGTGTCGCCAATGTTCGACTCAAAGTGCACCTTAGGATTAAGCTTGAACTGGAAAAATTGGGACATGTTTAAATAATATATTTAATATTATCTATAACTAGTTAGCTTTTCAAAAATTAACAAGAGAGAACGCTACAGTCGAGCAAGCCCGACAGTGTAATACCCTGTACCCAGGTAAACTTCCGTCACTGAGTTATACGCGCCCAAAGCAGCATCAAAAAGAGGAAGAAGAAGAGCGAACTTGTTGCTGCAGTTTGGGGGGTTGTACTGGCATTTTTTTCTTTCGCTAATAACTTTTCGTAGAATTGACCGAATTGAAAAAAATTTTAAACAACAGTAGATAATTATATATAAATTATGTGTGCAAAATAGGTAGCATTTGAAAAGTGGACGCTATTGACGAAATTATGTAGCGGGGGAAGAGGAGAGAGAATAAAATAAAAAAAAAATTCAATGATACCTTTCTCGGTATTCGAACTCACGTAAAGGGTGTATAATTGCACATTTACATAGCAATTGCGGCTGTGTATGTATGCCTATGCGCATCTATTCGTGTCTGTGTAAGCATTTTCGCAGTCAACCAAACAGCAACATCAACAACAGCCGCGTGCAGCGCTTGAGCAGCGATGCAGCAGCAAATATATTTATGGCTATAACTTCTTGGTAAATCGGTCTATCATAGTGAAACTTGGCATACGGACACATAATTACTAACTGGGGGTATTTGCAAAATTTTAGTTCGAAATTCCATGAATTACGGGAGAGGGGGGAGGGAGGGAAATTCCAAAATATACATTTTCTGCGTATTCACACAAGGCATCTTGGACTAAAATTTGGTGTGCCTAGGTCTTATAGTCTCCGAGATATAGGCGATTATACGAATGGAAAATCGGGAAAACCCCCATAGGGGGGAAGTGGGGGGGAAAATCAAAAAAATAAAACAAACTCGTATAGAATACACACATAACGCATCTTTGTGCAAAATTTAGTGTCTCTATCTCTTATAGTCTCTGAGATCCAGGTGTTCATACGGACGGACAGACAGACAGACAGGGCTAGATCGACTCGTCTTGTCACGCTGATCAAGAATATATATACTTTATGGGGTCTGCCACGCCTCCTTCCGCCTGTTACATTTTTCAGCTCCCGCAAACCTAATATACTCTTGTACATTTCATGTACAGAGTATAAAAAATAAACTCGTCCTTTCTCTGACCTATGAGAATCTGGATGCCAACTTTGGTTATTCTAGCTTTTATAGTTTCTGAGATCCTTGCGTTCATCCAGACGGATTGAATAAAATTTTATACAACAGTAGAGAATTATATATAAATTATGTGTGCAGTTTGGTTTAGGTAGCATTTGAAATATGGACGCTATTGACGAAATTCTGTAGCGGGGAAAGGGGGGGAAAATTAAAAAAAAAAACATAAACTCGTCTTTACTCGGACCTAGGAGAATCTGGATGCCAACTTTGGTTATTCTAGCTTTTATAGTTTCTGAGATCCTTGCGTTCATCCAGACGGATTGAATAAAATTTTATACAACAGTAGAGAATTATATATAAATTATGTGTGCAGTTTGGTTTAGGTAGCATTTGAAATATGGACGCTATTGACGAAATTCTGTAGCGGGGAAAAGGGGGGAAAATTAAAAAAAAAAAAAACATAAACTCGTCTTTACTCGGACCTAGGAGAATCTGGATGCCAACTTTCGTTATTCTAGCTTTTATAGTTTCTGAGATCCTCGCGTTCATCCAGACGGACGGACATGTCTAGATCGATTTCTCTCGTCATGCTGATCAAGAATATATATACTTTACGGGGTCGGAGATGCTTCCTTCTGTATGTTACATACTTTGCACAAACCTAATATACCATTTTTACCCTACGGGTACAGGGTATAAAAATATATATTAAACAAAATTTAATTAATCTAATTAATTAATTAAATTAAATATAAAATATTCAACACATGCATACATACATAACTGTTTATGTACAATTTCAATAGAATAAATTTAAATCAGAATCGTGTCTCTGCGTGCTTATATGCGTGTATGTATGCAGCTCTAAGTTGAACCAAAGCAGCCGGCAGAGCATGGGCAGCGATTTTATTTATGGCTATAACTTTCTTCAGAATTAACCAATCATGATGAAACTTAACATACGGACACATAATCACTAACTGGATGTAATATCCATAAAAAAAACTCAAACTCTACTTTCTCGGACTTAGGATAGTCTGGATACCAAGTTTGGTTATTCTAGCTATTATACTTTCTGAAATTCTTGCGTTCATACAGACAGACGGACACGGCTATATCGACTCGTCTTATCATCCTGATCAAGCGTATATATACATTGTGGGGTCTGCCACGCCTCATTCTCCCCATTCGCACCCTTTCACCCTTTGGGTACAGGGTATTAAAAAGTTAATTGACAAAGGTATTGAAGAAACATATTCATTCAATTCAACCCTGTATCAATAAAATTTTTAAAACTTACGTCTCTCTCGTTGGCGAACTCGTGATCCGACTTGGATTCATGCTTTTTCGAATTATTCTGCCCATTGGGCTCCACATATTTCATCTCGCTGCGAACCTTTCGTACTTTAAGGACTTTGCGTGGCACATCAGTTGCTGCAGCCACTGCCATGGACATGGTGTCAGTCTCTGATTGGCAACTTCCTTCGGCAGGAAGCTGGTCGGCGTTCGCTTCCAGCATCTCCTCTTTGCGTAGGGTGACCATTTCACTGCGTGGTGTGGCGTCTGGACTGGTCACAGTGCTGTTGACTAGTCGGTTGAAGTGTGTCTGCCGATAGTTTTGTGTGCTATTGGGATGACTGTGAATCAGTAGTGTCTCAATTTGGTATTGGAAAGCTAGCTTACTCTTTCATAACGGACTGCAACGATTCGTTGTGGACTATGACATAGCCGCAGGGATTGTCCTTAGAATCGACAACTTTGTCCGGAACCAGATTATTCTCAAACGATATTAGTTGATGGTTGAGCTTCTCGTTCAGCTTTTCAGCCTTTTTGCGAAGCATTCGCTCGAAGGATAACTGCTCCTCTAGAGTTTTGGTGTGCAGCAATAGCTGGGACACGGTATACTTTTTATTTTTTGGCAGGCTATGCAACCCATTAATGCCACTTAAATCGTATTGTGGCTCCTGTAGCTTCTCATCGTCCTCCTGTCCCAAGTGGTCGCGAACGCTGCGTTGCAGGAACTTGCTAATGCCATCGTTGTTACGTATATTGAAGTCGGTAATAGCGTTATTCAAATCGAGACAGTCAAGAACTATGTTAGCCCCACGATCCGTCAGACCACAATTTTCCATATCGATGGCTGTCAGCGGTGAACGAAACAAATTTTGATAATACGTAGAACAATTCTTAATTTGTGTTGTACTTACTTTTCACCCAGGCATCCTCCTTAAGTACTTCGGCAATAAGCCTAAGACCTTCGTCACCCATTTCCGGATTGTTTGCCATGTTAAGAGTACGCAAGCCCGATATGGAATTGATGTCAACAGTGCGATAGCGAAGCGATTTCTCCCAGCCTTCCGTAAAACGTGTGATCTTTTGCATCTGCATCGGAGATACTAGGTATAAGCAATAACTATTATTTGAAGGCTCACCTTAATCATGTCGGCCACAAATTCTGCTCCTTTGTTGGATATGTTGCAATCGGATAGGTCGAATTTTTCCACACAATTCAAATATTTTACTGTATTGCATACAGACTCACAGCCCTTGTCGCCAATATAGGACTTGTGGAAGCTGAGCTCCTTCAGGCGATCGTTAGAGGCCAAAGCCTGTATGCAGGTATGGTTAAGTAGGGCACTATCATTATCACTATTGACCTATTAGCATACCTTCGCTATATACTCAATATACTTGTCTTGTAGCGGCAAACCTTCCAATTTGAGAACCGTCAGATTTTTATTAAACTCAACACAACTGGATATGGCCTCAACAAGGCCTCCAAATATGAATCGGGTATAAATAACAGGTTTCTGGCGATACAGGCGAGCTCGCTTCTCTGTATCAATTGGTTCGACTACATCTAGAATCAACAATAAGACAACAGAATGGTAGTTTGATTGGTGCTGCGTTAAATATAATATGGTCACTTACTATTCACATGACTGCGACGCATGCGTACAGCCAAGGATTGCAACACCTGGTCATATTGCAAAGCCTCTATTATCAGCAACCACTCGCTGACTCCCAGCTTATCACCGTAGAGATCCAATATGGTAGTGGGATTTGATTTGGATCGTATATCAGGCAATGGAGTCAGATTCTTGGCTCTACACAATTCTAAGTATCGAAAGTGAAATGAGCGACATTTGGACTTCTTTATCAGTGGGGGTACATTCAAAACAATGCTGCCCTTTCTGGCTGAGTCCCGTCCACGCCCTGGACCGTTCCTGATTGCTGCTCGCGCCATAGACATATTCTAAAATAGAGTAAAGTATTCTTTAGAGATGTGGCATAACAGAGGTTTTCACCAGACGTTTATAAATGAAAACAAGTAAAAAAGCTAAAGTCGGGTGTCCCGACTTTGAAATACTCTGTACATATGTTTACAATAATTATAGAAAATAAAAAAATTAAGAAAATTAAAAAGCAAAAATTTTGATCGATCTTACCTTTCTCGGTATTCGAACTCACGTAAAGGGTGTATAATTGCACATTTACGGGAGTTAGAAAAAATCGCAATTTGCATGGGAGAGGAGGGAGGGAGGGAAATTCCAAAATATACATTTTCTGCGTATTCACATAAGGCATCTGGGACTAAAATTTGGTGTTCCTAGGTCTTATAGTCTCCGAGATATAGGTGATTATACGAATGGAAAATCGGAAAAACCCCCATAGGGGGGAAGTGGGGGGGAAAATCAAAAAAATGAAACAAACTCGTATAGCGTACACACATCTTTGTGCAAAATTTGGTGTCTCTACGGACGGACGGACAGACAGGGCTAGATCGACTCGTCTCGTCATGCTGATCACGAATACATATACTTTGTGGGGTCTGCCACGCCTCCTTCTGCCTGTTACATTTTTCAGCTCGCGCATACCTAATATACTCTTGTACATTTCATGTACATTAAAAAAATTAAAAAAAAAAAATTAAAAAAAAATTAAATTATTAAAAAAAAATGAATGAATGAATTAATTAATTAATTTAAATGAGAATACATGTTTATGTTCAGTTTTAACAGCATACATTTACATCACGTACCTATGCGTGTTTATATGCGTGTATGTATGCAGCACAAAGTTGAACCAAAGCAGCAACAACAACAACAGCTGCGGGCAGCGCCGCCGACAGAGCTGCAGGCAGCGCATGAGCAGCGATTTTACTTATGGCTATAACTTTCTTCAGAATTGACCTATCATGATGAACACATACGGACACATTAGTACTAACTGGATGTACCTACCAAAATTGATTTCAAAATTCCGAGAATTACGGAAGTTATAAGAAAAAACACGAATTGCGGGGGAGTGGGGGGGGTGCATCGAAAAAAAACTCAAACTCGTACTTTCTCGGTCTTAGGAGAATATGGAAACCAAGTTTGGTTATTCTAGCTCTTATACTTTCTGAGATCCTTGCGTTCATACGGACAGACAGACGGACAGACGGACGGACGGACAAGGCTATATCGACTCGGCTTCTCATCCTGATCAAGAATATATATACTTTGTGGGGTCTGCCACGCCTCCTTCTGTGTGTTACATTCATGCGCACAAAACTAGTATAGCCTTTCACCCTTTGGGTACAGGCTATAAAAATTCACAGAAATACATCAAACGAAATAAAAATTTATTTGTTGGCGCTTATACATACATACGTATTTGGTTATCTATGTACAGGGTATATTAGGGTATATTAGTTTTGTGCGAGAATGTATGTGTAACACATAGAAGGAGGCGTGGCAGACCCCACCAAGTATGTATGTATATATATTATTGATCAGACAAAACGAGTCGATATTGCAATGTCCGACTGTCCGTCTGTGTGGATGAACGCAAGGATCTCAGAACTGCTAGAATTACCAAAGTTGGTATTCAGGTTCCCCTAAGCCCTCGGCAGATCAAGTTTGTTAATTTCTCATGCATCCCCGCACTCCCCCGCTGTTTGTAATTTTCCATAACTCCCGTAATTCTTGGAATTTCAAATTTGGTGGTTAGGTCCAGTTCGTAATTATGTTTAATCATGATAGGTCAATTATGAAGAATTAATGTAATCTCTGCCCAAGCTCTGCCGCAGCTGTTGTTCTTGTTGCTGCTTTGACATAATTATCCACTGCATACATACTTACGTACATATGTATGTATGTACAAGTACATAAACACGCATAGATACGACTCTGATGTAAATGTATGCTGTTGAAATTGAACATAAAGGCTTATATGTATATGCATGTGTTGAACATTTTATATTTAATTATTTAATTAAATTTTTTGTGGGTGGGAGGCACTGGTTATTTAAGATTTGAGCACGCTCAACTCTAGCATTCCTTTCTTGTTTTAAGTTAATTTTTTTCATAAATATTATAACTGAAAGCTAGACTACTCGTATACGCGAATATAGCGATTTAAAACATTTTTAAGCTATGTCTAAAATTGGCCAGAACCTTTAACCTTGAAAACTATTACATTACGCACTTTGGTTGGGCTCTGTGTAAATGGTTCGTATCTTATGCTTTACTCTTTAGTAATGGGAGACATTGCAGCACTTCAATTTTTTCATCGGGCTGCGGTTGCCGGCACAATATGCTTGCAAATGTAAACATGTAAACAAACAATGGCTTGCCGGCGTCCTCTGTCCCTGCCCTCAAGCCGCGACCCCCTGCGTGGTTGGAATTCACGCTTCGCTAATTACTCGCATGCTTTTGCTGAACATGAGCTCGCTCGCTCCATCGCCATGGCGCTCTCGGAACGCCGCGGCCGTTGACAGTTTGTTGTTGGCAAACAGCAACTCGATTCCCATAGAGCACACCACCGTGGTCTGGTCTGGTCTGGTTTGCTGGCAGTTGTCGTGCTGCTGTCGAGGAATACATGTCGGGTTTGTGGCAAGCGCAGCTTTAAGTATCGCGTATAACGGTGCTTTTCGAAGATCGTAGTGCGCCTTTAAACTGCGAAGGTACAAATGATAACTTTTCGGAGCACGTTCGTCGCGACAATATTTCTTTGAGGTTTTTCAAATAATACTTTTTTTAACTTTGTGCCTTGCCCCCAGTTTTTGTGCATGCTTTAGGCTTTAAACATTGACTTCTTTAAATTAAGAAGTATCATCGGTGACTATTAAAGCAACCGAAGCCCAGCATTGAGTGTTGACATTTAAAATTGTGAACGATAAAATGCAATAAAATGCAGCCTACCCTTACATTTGACTAAACTAACCAACAATTATAAAGTCCTTGTCATCACCTGACCGGACCAGGACGAGCCACGTTACTTTGTCAATGTAAGTATAACCAAGTACTGTATACACCAAGTTGTTGAATAAAAAATTGTTGTACTGAATTCATGCTAGTTTAATGAATAAATTAATTCCTTATTCGCAAACTGTACATTCGTACCTCTTACTAGCGGGGTCTCTTTCATATGATTAAATGGAAACATATTAATCAAAGTAAACATTCGTGTGATGTTTTGTTATTTACCAATAACGCAATAATGCATACAATTTATGTATCAAACAAATATTTTAAAGAAACTCCTGCACGTCCAGGGAAATAAGGAATTAATTTTAATGTATGTATATATTTATGTGTAAGAAGAAACCAGAAAGATTCTAAACAGTTCATTTTGCCAGCAGGACATATGCTCGTATAGACTGTAGAAACTAAAAGTTATCAACTAGTTGCGTCTGATGGTGAACAATTCGATTCGATTAATTTAAAAAAGACTGGTGTGAACAATTGTTATCTACAACTTTATTTTGAAATTAAACAAGACCCATGACATAACTAAATACATGTAAGGTCAACTTTAGCATTTCAGTCAGCTGTGAACTTTAAAGAGGCGTATTTTCCAAGAGCAAATATGCTTTGTTAAAAAAGTCTATTAAAAATTCGCTTCCATATGAATCCGTTGCATATGCAAATAATTAGGCAAAAACTTAGAAAAGTATTTGAAGTGTAACGGACAAATAATTTACGGCATACAAACAAACTTGGAGGCATTGGAGCCAACATGGAAAGACTCTCTTGTTAGGTTATTGTGAAGTGGCGGTGGGGAAGCGACGTACGCCTGAGGACCCTGGACTGAACTTGTCGAGGAATGAGTCAAAAATCAAGCTACCGAAACGGAGTGCCCTCCACCCTCGCGCACTCACAGACACATCCAACTCTTTTGTTTTGTTGGCCTAAAGCAACAAACTGTTGTAAATATTGTAACACTAGTTGGCTGTTGTTTATGCTTCTACTAGCGTTGAACTTGACTGTCACAGACACGTTTTGGAATCGAAGTGCATGACAACGAAAAAGGGCCCTAATATGGGGGAGGAAGTATTCGAAAATTGGAGTATTCGAGCTACCAGATAGACACATACATGCATATGTATATATTAATGCCCATTTGCCTGCTCACTCGGTCGTGCGCCGGAAACTGAAAGCAACATTAGTCACAAAAAGTGTAATACCAACTGCGACCGAGACGCGAAAGGGCAACAGCCCAGCCTCATGCCCCATGGCTCAGCTGCAATCTTAATTGAATAGACTCTTCGTGTAGTCATCACATATAGGCATATATCCATGAAACCATCCATGTGGCTATGAACTCTGAATTAAATTGCTGGAGTTGGGAAAGTCGGCACAAGCCAGCTTAAAACGAGCAAGTTCGCAAGTTATTGTATATGATCTTCATCAGTGTCTCAAAATTATTGTTTATACGAAATTTGCTGCGCATGTTAAATTTACAACGTTGCCGATGTGAATGTGACGACTATCTCCATTTGTTGTGGTTACGGGGCAAACCGCAAATTCGAAATAGGTTTGCATCTATTGGAAACGCTTATTGCTGGACCCTCACTGCTCATATTTTCCTCGCTTTTGGAAATATATCAAGCAAATCGGGCCACTCTCTGACCGACAGGAGCCAGAACATGCCAAGCGTAAAACGCTAAGCGCCTTCGCATACGCCGTGTGTCTCTGTCGAAAGTCATTAGCAGCAGTCATCCGACTATGGCCGCCTTCCTCCAGAAACCGAAGAAAGAGCCAGCCACGCTTTCGAGCCATTAAAGTTCACGCATGTCATGCGTCGCCCCCAAAAGATCTTGGTGCTGTTGAAAGCGGCGTCTCCCACCGACGTCGCGACGTCATGGGCTTTGCACTACAATCGTTCCGAGGAGGTTTGCGAACCACAGCCATTTATTTCAATGCGACTTATGTGTATAAAATGAGTGAAATGCGAAAGAAAATACCAAAATCTCGCAGAGATCTGTTTAATTTTGCTTGATCTTTGTTCACATTAACTTATTAATTTGGCTTAATTCAGTGAGCTTGTGCGCTGTGGAAAATTGGCTGTTTGAATGCTACACCACTAATGGGCAATTTAAAAGCAAAGGTTTTTACTTGTTCCTGGTGCCACTATCATTAATTTTGCTCTTATGGCAAAGTGCGGTTTGTTGTTGTGTTTTCCTATCGCCAGAAGAAAATGGGTGATCACTTTAAACTCTTAAATGTTTGTCTTGGCTTATTCAACCGTGAAAAGCAACCAGGTTTCCCAGACCATTGTATGGGATCGAAACCCAGGACACAATACACAGAAGTGCAGTTCTCACTCCCCCGCCATAAGTGATTTTCCATAACATTGATGTACTCACATTTATGACTATCAAACTATAGATAATCCTATATGTCTGGTTACGTCTTAAAGATTTTCAATTTTTTTTATTTTAATTTAATTAATTACATTTTGTTTATAGTTCGCAATAAAAGATGGCAAGAACAAATTCAGTTTTTCCAATCTCACATTTTCACACATATGTACATTTTATTTACTAAACGATATTACATAATATTCGCGATTAATACAGAGAGCTTTCGATCTTACAATTGTTGTAAATATTGTTTGAAGAATCTGCTTGCAGATTTTTTGGCCCATTGTGCATTGTTTTAGTAGTCGAAATCAATGCAGCATAAAATAGGTTTATGTACATGGAGCTGATATATGTATGTACATATATGTACAACATACATATACATACATACCTATACTCATACTTCTACTCATTATAGCGCCAACTGACCAAACAACCCAATTGTTTACGTTACACAAAACCGCTGTCCATAAATACATAATTACTCGCTCGCTCCTTTCCCCCACACACACGCTCGAGCGCTAAATACCACTAAAGAAAATTCATAAATTAAAAGGAAAATGCTAAGCTCGGCCCGAAGTCGCATTGCATGTGGCATGAGCCATTGAAGCCGCAGATGCGATGCGATGCGATGCGATGCCGAAAGCGAAATCAAAACGAAATTATAATCAAATGAAATATACGCCATTAAGCTATTTTAAATACCATTAAAATTCAACAACGACCTTGCCTATGTGCTGTGATTTTTCAGATGAGATAAAACTGCTTTTCCAAGAGGTTGGAGCAACACGCGAATGGTAATGAACTACCCCTGGAGAGCATCGCTTCGTAATTAAAATGACAACGAATCAATTGCGGAGTTAACTGCTTTCCAGCTCCGCACAAATTACAAACTATTTTGTAATTTTGCATTTTACTGAATTTAATGACTGCCTGAGGCAGCCACTCAAAAATATTTTGAACTCTGCATTTTTATTGCAACAACGCCACAGACTTACTAGACGCCCAGGTAATGCACTGAAGCTCATCATCCAATGGAAATGTACACGCCCGAGCTCGACTCAAACAATGACCAAGTCTTGCGCCAATAAGTAAATGCATATACAAACATACTGGCGGATAGATACACCTAGAGATATAGTTATTCACATGCTTCGTATGATGTGTGTGTGTTCCCAATTAATAAGGCAAATGTACACACGTATGTACGAGTATGTATGTATATCAATCAAGATAAATTAAAAATGTTTTTATGAGTATGACACTCTTGAAATTTGAGTAATATGTAAGATACCCGGACCCACCTGGCTATGTTAATATCAATCGATCTGGTATGAAGTTTGTGTTTGAATTAAGTCTGTTTTAATATGTTAAAATTCATATGAAGGAAAATACATAATTGGCCCTTGGTGTCGTCTTTATTTTTTTGACCCTTGCCGACCAAGAAGAAATTACTTTTCTCTACTCAATAGATGCACAAGGGGGCACGAGTGGCATTGACTCTTTTTGTTTCGGCTGCACCGAATACCAGAGAAGATACAAAATTTTATCTGCTCGCAATAAAAAGGCCGAAGTATTAAAAATTTCTCACTTTTCCAATTATTTTCAATATTTTCCATCGTTAATACACGTAAATGTTGAAAATATGCGTTTTCCTTTATGGATGTGCGTGGTATCGCGCACCAATTCAGAATAATGTTAATGTTAAAAAATTTTATTAAGACCCAAATTAATTTTAATTAATTGTATATACAGGTAATACCATCAGGACTTGATGATAATTTATATACCCCAAGCACATCTTTGAGCTTAAGGAATAAAAAAACAAGTAGGGAAGCTAAAGTCGGATGCCCCGACTATAAAACACTCTGTACATGTGCGTAGAATAATTATAAAAACTATTGAATAATTAAGATATTACAAACAAATTAAAAAAAGTAACGAAATTATAATATTAAAAACATTTTTTTTATCGATTATACCTCCTTGGATATTTGAACTCACGTAAAAGGTGTATACGTGCACATTTACATAGAAATTGTGTCTGTGTGTGATCGTGTTTGCAATACAGAGTTGAGCCAAAGCACCAACAACAACTGCGTGCTGAGCTTGGGCAGAGATTATATATGGCTATAACTTCCTTTAAAATCGGCCCATAATGACGAAACACACATAATCACTAACTGAAGGTTTTTGCCAAATTTGAGTCAAAAACTCGAAGAATTACTAAAATTATGGAAAATCACTAACTGCTTGGGAGAGGAGAGATGGAGAGAAATTCTGAAGTACACAAATGTGGTGTTCTTAGATGTTTAGATGATTTGATATAGATGTGTCTATCTCTTAAAGTCTCTGAGATCTAGGTGATTATATAGACGGACAGACATCCTAGTACTACGCCCAGAAACAGCAGAAGGGACTCGCTCTTCTTCTTCCTATTGCTTCTTCTATGAGCGTATGAAGTTTGATTTGTTACAAGTCACTTCACTATCGGGCTTGCTCGACTGTTGCAATATCTGTTTCTACAAAAAGTTAAAAGAATTTGTATTTGGCTAATGGTTGCCTATATTTGATTTACTTTGCTCGTCTGTTCTAGCAGTATCAAGTATATATGCTTTAAGATTTTGATTCCAAATGATGACCGATACTGACCCGGTATTTAAATTACCCTGATATCCTCGGGTAGCGCGTTGTTTTTTAAATTGATAGAGCAAAGTGAAACCATCATTGCTACGTTGGGCCTTAAGAACAACAGCTACAAGTTAGAAGCAATTTCAGAAAAGAAAATGTGGCACACAAATATTTCATTCTTGTTTTTTTGTACAACACGTTCCAGCCATTAAGTTGCTAAGCTCCATAACGAAATTCCAGGTTACTCAAACAAGTAATACGAAACAAACGGATCTAATTAATTTCCACATACAGCTTTCGGAAGATCTTTGGCTTTGACCACCAGTATGTACTCGTATATAATCAAGACGTGCCAATGTAATGCAACGTGCTACCAACATGAACGACAAACAGCACTCAAGTTGTACGTTCGGTTCCATTGAGCAATATACATATGTCCGACTTGATACTCCAGATTGGAGATGTTGCGACAAGACAGACCAAGACCAATAGAAACAAGAACACGTAGAGAGAAGAACCAGAAATGACTTTTTCGAATACTCCGTGCCCGCACTCCATTTATACCAGCATATGTGGTTAAATTAAGTAAAAACACTTCTCCTCCCATATTGTTGCTTACACTTGCACACATTTGTCGAAACAAGTACACACTCGTTCATTTTATTACGCTTCTGTACTTGGAGTTTCTCAAGCGAAACTATGCTGAGGTTATAAGGCACGCCAAAAAAGAAGCGCCAACGTACTCCCTACCAGAGGCGAAATATTTGGACACATTTTAATGACGACAGCACTTGAGAAATGGGTTAATGTTGTAACACTCTACCTATTTTCTAGGTGTCAAGTACTGGCTGAGCGAGCCCTGCCATGTTGCGTTAGCAGTTCTACACAAAAGCTTACAATAAGATGTACAACGAAAAACAAGCACCGTCATTTTCTTCCAACAAATTCATCTTCAGCATGGCATACAAAAAGGTCCGATTAAAAACACGAGAAAACCGTACATCTACATTTAAAAGTCGAATAATATTTGTCATAATACTCAACACACTACTTCGCGGCGCCTCGTCAAATCGTCCTCCGCGGTTTGCTATCGACGGTCAGTCCGAGATAGTTCTAAGGCTGAAAGAGAGTCCCGAAACCAAAGTGGGTAAGTGAAGGAATAGCTTAGCAGTACCGAGCATTGTGGAAATTTTAGTAATGTTAATACTTTTAGGTAGTCTTATTTATACCTTGAAGGGCTATGATCCCGACAACGATCCCTTGACCTTTGGGAAGCGGAATACGCACGACAGCGATGTTATACGTATTGAAAACGTGGAAGGAAACTCGGCGCAAGTCTTTTTAGCCAAAGAATTGGATAGGGAGATACAAGACGAGTACGCCATTGTGCTGACATTAACCGATAGTCACTACGGCGACAACAACTATGTAACGCAAAGTCTACTGCTGTTGGTCGAGGACATCAATGACAACGCTCCAATATTCCTGCCCTTTCAAAACGCCATTGAGATACCAGAGAATACAGCCCCTGGAGTAATTACTACTTTAGAGGCCACCGATGCGGACGAGGGTGCCTACGGACAGGTTGTTTATTATTTGCAGGAGCTTGAGGGAGACAACGACATTTTCAGCATATCTACTTATCAAGGCAAGGGTATCTTAAGACTGCAAGGAGAGCTGGACTATGAAGTGAAGAGCTTGTATCAGTTGCGAGTTTTAGCCATTGATCGGGCCAACCAGGGCCCAATAAATACAGGCACTGCGGCGATTCTGATCAAGGTTAAAGATGTAGAGGACCAACCCCCAGAGTTTGTTGAAGTTCAGTCCGTAGCGCGCATAGCGGAAGATTCGCCAGTGGGCACTCGGGTACTTCGTGTTCGCGCCATCGATGGCGATCGTGGGATCAACAATCCCATTGCTTATGCCATAGATACAAATGATCTCTTTGAAATTGATCGACAAACGGGCGTGGTATACACCCTGACTGCATTAGATCGCGAGCAGGAGAGTGATCAAGTAAACGGAGCGCATATACTAAGGATAACAGCTATGGAACTGACTAAGGACTCACTGCCTACTGCGGCCATGGTGCGTACAGAGGTAACAGTGCTAGTGACCGATGTCAACGATGAAATTCCTACTTTTGGAGATACTGTCTATCGCTGTGAAATAAACGAAAATTCACAATCCAATACGCCCCTGAATTTCATAGATAAGGACGTACACAATTATGTTTACGACCATGATGAGGGAAACAATGGCACCTTTCGTTTGTTCCTGGACCCCCAAAATGATCTATTCGAAATAGTACCTGATTTGGCAGTAAATGAGGCCAATTTCATGTTGCGAATTAAGAACTCAAGGTCACTGGATTTTGAGCAATTCAAGGAAGTAAATTTTACAATATTTGCGCGTGAGGTTGATGAACCTAGCCGTTGGAGGTAAATACTCGTACATGTCGAAGATTTGGTTTGGTTAAAATATTCATTTGCTGTATATACATTTCATTTGTATTCAAACATTTAGCTCGGCTCACGTGCAAATTTTCGTACGAGATCAAAACGACAATTTTCCCGAATTTACCAAAGGATTCTACAATGCCAGCGTCCCTGAAAATAGTGAAATAGGCACCATTATTACCAAAGTGGAAGCCGTGGATGAAGATTCTGGCGATTTTGGAACGATGGGAATACGCTATCTTAACTTAAGAGGTGGCATCGCGCACCTGTAAGTACCAAGAAAATGTTCGAATAACAATCTATCATAGAAATTTTAATAATATTTTCCCGAATTTACAGACTGCACTTGAACCCTATTACAGGTGTGATTACAATCAAACAGCCAGGCGGTTCAGCCTTCGACCGTGAAATAATTTCACGTCATTATCTTACTGTCGAAGCTATAGACAACGTGGGTCAGGGGAACCGAAATACAGCACAAATAATTTTGGATATTGAGGATGTAAATGATAACGCACCCACATTTCTTCAACGGCAGTACGAAGCAAAGCTGCTGGAGAACAAGAATGAATTCGAGACACCATTACAGGTGGAGGCACGGGACTTGGACTTAAATGGCACCGAAAACAGTCAAATAACGTATGAGATAGTAGAAGGACTTTATCGCTTGAACTTTACCATTGACCCTGAGAATGGGCTTTTAAAGCCTATGCATCCATTTGACTATGAGGGACTGCTGGACAGCAGTCGCCGCCAGTCGCGTCAACACAATGCTGGCATTTTCGAAATTGATCTACTAATACGCGCGAGGGACTCTGGAATACCCATGCTTTCAACCGTTGTACCTGTTCTAATTTATGTACAGGATGTTAATGATAATCCGCCTATATTCCAACAAAGCTTCTATGCCAAAACCGTTCCTGAAGACCAACCAGGAGATAGTTCAGTGTTGCAAGTGCTAGCCATCGATCGGGACGGATCATCACCCAACAATGCCGTCGTCTATCGCATACAGAAGGGTGCCAGCGACAAATTCATTATCAACTCGGAATCGGGGGTTATATCGGTGGCGCATGGTGCCAACTTGGATCCAGATTTTACTGAAAACAAGCGTACGCTGTATACACTAACTGTGGTAAATATTTAAATCATATCGATTTGGCTTGCAAGAAAATTATTTGTTATGTTAGCATTTTTAACTCTGTACTCGTATTTGTTTCCCAAGGTTGCTCTCGATGGCGGTCTTGGATCCCAACTAATGAACTCAGCTACAGTAAACATAACCATCAAGGACGTAAACAACAAATCTCCGGTCGTCAATGATCTACCCGTTCTTAAAATTGTGGAGAACACACCCGTAGGAAGTTTAGTTTATCACCTGCGAGCTACAGATCCCGATCAGAATCCTATATTACGCTATAAACTCAATGAGGAGCATTGCGAGGCCCGCAACGAGGAAGGCGTCCTCGTAAAGCCCAGCGAATATAATTACCAGAGTGCATTTGACTTGGATCCCATTGAGGGAGCTTTGAAATTAGCGAAGCTGCTAGACCGAGAGAAAGTTGAGCAAATTAAGTTGGCTGTTATGGTGGAGGACTTGGCTGCGGCCAATGGTAAACAAGTAGTTGAAGGTAGGTCTAATATCTCTGGTTAAATTAATTTCGTTTTCTAAGACCTTTTTCACCCTTTTCTTAGGGTTTCTAAGCATTCAAATACTGGACGAGAATGACAACAATCCGAAATTTAAGCAGCCGTACTACCGTCAGACTATTACTGAGAACAGCATCAATGGTGTTATGGTAGCCAATGTTTTGGCTTACGACGTGGATAAGAACCGAACGATCTCTTACGCAATTGAGGGTAACCCCGTCTATCGTAATCTTCTGCACTTGGATACACAAACTGGCGAAATTGTAGTGGCCAACAAGATCGATCATGAGCAACATCAGTGGCTAAATTTCAGCGTGCGCGCTACCGACTCGGGGTTACCGCCGCGATCGGCACTTGTCGATGTGTATGTGACGGTGTTGGATGAGAACGACAATAATCCATATTTTATAGGAAATACTAAGAACTACACAGTCAGAGAAAATGCCATTGTGGGCACACGAGTGGCCACGGTGCAGGCAGCTGATGCAGATTCGGGAGATTTTGGCAAGTTAACGTTCCTAATGGACCGTATTAGCTCCCAAGGCAAGTTCAGTATCGATGCAGATACGGGCGTGTTAGTTGTGGCCGACAAATTGGATCGCGAGACAAAGGATTTTTATAATCTAGTGATAGAGGTCTGGGATAATTACCAGTTTGGTTTTTTGGCCGGCGAGAGCCGTAATGCTTTTAAACAGATTTTGTAAGTTTGGTTTGATAATAATTTATAATAATTAGAGCTACCATATATTACCATTGTTAAAAAAAAAAATATATATATATATATATTAATAGCATTACGATATTGGACGAGAACGATAATGTGCCTGAGCTTCACCTCCCCACAAGCCCCGTGCTTATCACTGAATATCACGATATCCACGAGCGTATTGCTTTAATAGTGGGCAAGGATGCAGATGACGAATCGACTCCCAATGGTCGTTTACAATTTGCCATTACTCAAGGCAATAAGGAAGGTGCGCATATATTTTGTTTATGGTTAAGACAACCAGATCATTTAGAGCAACTCTCTATCTACAGTTAGGCTTTTTTTTTTAGACGTAGTAGAGTGCGGATGAACAAAATCTCATATATTCATTTATGCTATATTATTATGGGTACTTATGTAATTTAAATCACTAATATGCAGGTGCTATGATTCCTCTCTTAGGTATTTTCGAACTTAAACAACTAGACCACTGGACGGCCCATGTATATGCGAGTCAAACTTTGCGCAATAAGTTTGGAAACTACAGTCTGACGATAACTGTGCGAGACTTGGGAGTACCAGCAAACGTTGTACGCAGTACTTTGGACATCTGCATTTCTGACTTCAATGATCATGCGCCAGTTTTTGTAACTCCTCTTCACAACACAACAGTACGCATGCCGGAAAATGCTACTCTCGGTACGCGAATACTCCAAGTCTATGCCTCTGATGCTGACATGGGTCAAAATGCTCTAGTGCGTTATCGACTTAAGCCTGATCCATTAGGCAGCTATAAAGTATTTGAGATTAACGCGGAATCTGGCGAACTATTTCTCAGGCAGCCATTAAATCGGGAGAAACAAAAAATCCACGAGGTTCATATAAAAAGAGGTTATAAATATTTAATTTCCACTCATCAAAAATATATTTTTACAGATCCGAATTGAAGCCTACGACCAGGGCTTACCCACATCACTTAGTACAGACTTGGACTTGACCATCTACGTACGGAATGTGAACGACTTCGAGCCGCAATTTATAGTCAACGAAGTTTTTGTCAATTTCACGGAGCATTCTGATCCTGGGTCCGAGCGCATTAAGCTGCCGGACACAATAGACAAGGATGAATTAGACGATTTGGAGGAGACGCCAAGTCAAGTCTGCTACTTTATAGTGCGTGGAAATGAGCAGGGCTTTTTTAAGTTAGATCCCGAGACACATATACTGAGTGTAGAGCGTGAACTGGACCGTGAACTTTATGCCAATTTTTCACTCTACGTGAAGGCCACGGAGAACTGCTCCAACAAGTCCAACTATAATGCTTTGTCAAACCGTCGCCGTATGGGCATTGAAATCGACAACAAGCTGCATAAGTTAACCAGTCGACCAGCACCCCTTCTACGCCAACCCGCATCACTTGAGTTCGATCGCTTCAAGCACTCGCGGCAACTGCGCGACATAGGTGAGGACTCCGAATTTGGATCGTCGTCAACCATACAGGGCATGGTCTCTTATGAAACATACACAGAGGAAAACTTAGAGCCACCACATTTTTCCCAACACCACAACCAATCCAATACAGACAGCACAGTTGTACGAGTTCAAGTGCGTGTACTAGATATTAACGATAACCCGCCTCGCTTTCGGTCTAAGGTGTTTACGGGCGGAATCACAACAAATGCGGACTTTGGATTGCGCTTTATGCGCGTCGAGGCTTTTGACGCGGACGAGGGACCTAATGGGAAAATTTCGTACTATCAAGTTGGAGAAATTCGTCAAACCTTGTCCGAGGGCTTGGAGAACGTACTGAACGTCCCATTTATATTGGATCGCGAATCTGGCGAGGTACAATTAAATTTTGACCCGCAGAAAGGTATGAAAGGCTATTTCGATTTTATGGTGCTAGCCAATGATACGCTGGGAATGAAAGATGTAGCTCGCGTGTTCATCTACCTGCTCCGCGAGGATCAAAAAGTGCGCTTTGTCTTTCGCTTACAACCCGACGAACTACGCCTCAAAGTCGAGAAATTTCGAGAGTAAGTTCGCTTTTTATATTTCGAGAATGTACAAAAAATACTAAAATGTAACTTTCTATAGTACCCTCGGTAATATTACAGCGTCTATTGTTAACATAGATGAGATAAAAGTGCATGAGAACAAAGACGGTTCGGTTGATAAAACCAAAACGGATTTGTACATGCACCTAGTCGAGCGTGATGACAACTCAATTTACGAAGTGTCCGAGGTACTTAACCTTATCGACACGCACATCGAGGGCTTGGACGAATTGTTCAAGGAGCTTAACGTGCTAGATACACAGCCTGCAGAGACAGAGCTACTTACAGCTGGTCCCACAAAGACGCCAATTTTTGTCTGGCTAATATTTATGAATCTCTTTCTAACCACTTTGCTAATTGTGACGCTAGCCTTATGTGCTTCGCAACGCAAACGCTACAGGAGACAACTGAGGGCTGCCAAAGTAGGCATCTTTCGTAAGTCAATCGATTTATGAGCACCTTGCATCCGCTTCATTTAACTCAAACTTGCATAGGTGGTCAATCTTCACTATCACTTCAAAACCCACACGAACCGGCAACTCGTGTGCCGAACACCAACAAGCATAGCGTACAGGGCTCTAATCCCATTTGGTTAAAAGGCTACGAGAACGAGTGGTTTAAGAACGAGGAGACTGACAGGTCAGTATTTTAGCATAAAAAAAGGAAAACCCAATGAATGAATCCCCTTCGCAGTATTGGTGGTCAGGACTCTTTGGACGATAATGTTTTGGCCATCGGAGCTCAGGATATACAGGAAACTTTAAAGGGCACCGCCAAGTTATTTACCAACAGCAACGATCTTAATCGACATTTTAATTTGTACAATCAAATTGATAAACTAGCAAACAATGCTCAAATACTAGCGCGCAAGCTGGAAACGACGGAGTTATAGTGTAGTTCAGTATGTTTATCAGTTGTATGTTTTTGGATATATAGTACATAGCTATATTATAAGGAAACAACCTTGTAAATATAAACCCAATAAAAACGCCAACAAAAAACAAGTAATGCGTTAGTAACCGATTTTAAAGTGAGGGGGAAAAATAAAAAAAAATAAATAAAACAAAAAAGCACAGCATACACACATAAAGCATCTTTGTGCAAAGTAGTCTCTGAGATCCAGAAGTTCATACGGACAGAAAGGGCTAGATCGACTCGTCATGTCTTGCTGGTCAAGAATATACATATGTACATACTTGTACAAGTATGTATATACTTTGTAGGGTCTTTGCCGCGCCTCGTTCCACCTGTTACATTTTTCAGCGCGCGCAAACCTAATATGCTCGCACCACATAGCTTTACCACAAAATATACGAATACAAATTATAACAAAACAAGAGAGAACGCTACAGTCGAGCAAGCCCGACAGTAAAATAGCCTGTACTCTCCACAAAGAAAAATTAAAAAAAAAAAAATTTTAAATTTAATTATTAAAAAAAATTGAATTAATTAATTAAATTAAATTAGAAGTCATGTTTATGTTCAGTTTTAACAGCATACATTTACATCACGTGTCTATGCGTGTTTATATACGTGTACATATGTATGCAGCACAAAGTTGAACCATGAGCAGCGATTTTATTTATGGCTAACTTTCTTCAGAATTGACCTATCATGATGAAACTTGGCATACGGGCACATAAGCACTAACTGGATGTAACTACCAAAATTGATTTCCAAATTCCAAGAATTATGGAAGTTATAAAAAAAAACAGGAATTGCGGGGAAGTAGGGGGGAGTGTATCAAATTAAAATATATATATATATAAAATATACTTTGTGGGGTCTGCCACGCCTCCTTCTCCCTGTTACGTACAGGCTATAAAAAATCAACTTCAGGTCTAGTGCAGTGAATGCTTTTTTTGTCATTTAAAGTCAAATAAAATTTTCTCATGGATGCCATCATCAGAACTGGACGAAATTGAAATGGGACGATTCGGGGAGCACCAGCTTTGATATCGAAAAAGAATCATCAATCATCAGCGTATCTAATTAAATTAGAAGACAACCAATTTCACAACCGATTTATTTCTCTGCACCTGTTTTTGCGCTTTTCTGGCCATATCCCCCCTTTCGCGCATCCACTCGTCACTACTCTTAAAATTTATAAGCCTCCCAGTCAGTTAAAATTATACTTACAGCGATTAAATTTCTGCAGCTGCTCTCAACAAAAGGGTAAAAGCCTTCCACAATCAAATAAATTGTCTTGAACTTCAGTCAAATAAATTCTTTGAGGTACGACCATCCAAAGTATTTATACTTGTAAACTAGCAGCAAATACAAGTTTAGGTAATCTTTGTAAAAGCGTACAACAACAAACACTTACCACTTCTGCAATTCTCTGCCCGCAATGTAAGGAAAGTGGAAATACTTTTCAAATTAATGAGAAGTTTTCACAATATCAATGAAATTATAAGCACGAATATAGAATATAGAGGGCTATTACATAGGCTTCTGCGCATTAAAAAAAATGAGCAAGAACTTCATTCAATTCTCCTAAATGCTTATCTGTACCGCCAAGCCAACAGTTCACATCGAAGTAGTGTACTTGAGAGTGGTTACTTTCGTTGTCCGTCAGAATTATAAAGCCGTCAAAGAACTACGCGCACTGGTGAAATCTTACGAGGACTGTGTTGTTTGTCGCGTGTTTATCGGCGTATTGTTTTTTTGGTATGCGATGTGTGTTTGTGCGATCGATCTATGTATTTTATTCTATAGAAATAAATGATGTAGCTACGTTTTTGAGTACTCTCTATTTTGACAGCACTGCACAGACTCCTCAGTTTGTTACAACGCTTACTTATTGGAAGCAACAAAAATACAATCATACAATTACAGCTAGCCGAAGGGCAAATAATATTCCCTCCCCGGGTCGGAGACGTTTATTAGATATTATTGTAATTTGATTAGATTTCTCCTACTTAGGCTATTCTAGCTTATAAGATGCTTTTTGTAATTTTTGTAAATTGTCCTCCTATGTCGACAGTCAACTAAGAATATTTTTAAAATTATTTAATTTAAAAATGTAATTAGTTAAATAAAATTAATAAAAATATAACACGTACAGTTTCAATATAGATTTACATCGGTATTGTGTCTATGCGTGACTGTGTTCGTGTACATGTGCAGTACAGAGCTCAGACAAAGCAGCAACAACAATAACGGCTGCGGGCAGAGCATGGACAGATTATATTAATGGCTACTCCCATAACTTCCTTTATATTTGACCAAACCTGTGCTGTGGTTTTAAAGGTTAACTTTGTACACGTAATAAATACCTCACTCCATTTTACTCAAATGGGCTGATTCTACTAGCGAAACAATTTCTTTCCAGTGGGAAGTTTGGTAACTCTTTTTAGAGATCCATGTCCTCAACAAGATAAACGTACGGGCGAAAAAGACAACATAAACGTATTATTATAGTGATGAAGAATATATGTATTTTCGTTGTGGGAATACCACACCCGCCTTTGGATGATACGTAAAATGAACGGTTTGGTGAAAATTGAATATCAAAACAAGATAGAACGCTACAGTCGAGCAAGCCCGACATTAAAATAGCCTGTACTCTCCACAAAAAAGAAAAATTAAAAAAAAAATTTTTTTTTAAAATTAAATTATTAAAAAAAGTTAATGAATTAATTAATTTAATTAAATTAGAATACATGTTTATGTTCAGTTTTAACAGCATACATTTACATCACGTACCTATACGTGTATGTATGCAGCACAAAGTTGAACCAAAGCAGCAACAACAACAACAGCTGCGGGCAGCGCTGCCGACAGAGCTGCAGGCAGCGCATTAGCAGCGATTTTACTTATGGGTATAACTTTCTTCAGAATTGACCTATCATGATGAAATTTGGCATACGGACACATTAGTACTAATTGGATGTACCTACCAAAATTGATTTCAAAATTCCGAGAATTACGGAAGTTATAAGAAAAAACACGAATTGCGGGGGAGTGGGGGGGTGCATCGAAAAAAAACTCAAACTCGTACTTTCTCGGTCTTAGGAGAATATGGAAACCAAGTTTGGTTATTCTAGCTCTTATACTTTCTGAGATCCTTGCGTTCATACGGACAGACGGACGGACGGACGGACAAGGCTATATCGACTCGGCTTCTCATCCTGATCAAGAATATATATACTTTGTGGGGTCTGCCACGCCTCCTTCTGTGTGTTACATACATGCGCACAAAACTAGTATAGCCTTTCACCCTTTGGGTACAGGCTATAATTATGGAGGGCGATGCGTCTCTAGTGATTGCTTTTTGTCAATTCTCTGCAAACTTCTGGCAAACAAACATAACATTCAGAATGGACCCTTCAACGTTTTTAAAGGGCATGCAATAGTCGTCAGTTTTTCCGTAGACACAAAACTGATGTTTTATTTCGGGCCTGCATGCATTGATAAATTTTCTGAGTGATATATAAATATTCTTGTAATACGACGCATTTCTGTAGAGCTAGATGGCATTGAAACTGCAAACTTACAAACGCTTAAAGGCTCGCGGACAGTGTTTTCATATTGCTGAGAAAGTAAACATTGTAATACCACCATCATGTTCCTGTAGAAAAAATATTATCAAAGTAATACCGATTATAAATTCCAAAAAAATGTAAAGAATTTGTTGTTTTTTTTTTACTAAAAATATTATATTTTTCAGGGTAAAATATTCAGTTGTCATAAAATCAATTTTTGCTTGCTTCCGATTTTTTGTAAATCTTACTTTTATATATATTTTGTTTTTCATTTAAAATAGTTACACAAATTAGATCACAAAAATGCACGTAAATTAAAAAAACAAACGTGGTGTATGCCAAAAAGACCAACAAATATTGAATTGAGCTGCTAGCGTGCTGCAGCTAGTGGTTTATCGGGTTTCCATACAACATAAATAAGAATTAAAAAGGGACTTGTAAACAAATATTTTGTTGGGTATGTTTACAAAGGAAGTTTCTATAGTTTGCATAATTTTGTTCGCGTTACTTGCACAGCGAATTGTGTGTTTTTCAACTAAAGATAACTAAACTATATTTACTCCATAACTCCATCGATTAAAAAAAGAATACATATAACTATAAGCATATATCTATAGAAGAATTAGAATATATATTACAGTTGTGGTTTGTTTCATTGTTTATACGTTATCTCTTACTAGAATGAAATCCACAAAGAGCGATGTGTAAAGGTATGTAGATGATGAAGCAAAAGAAGGTTTGATACATATGAGATTTATGCAAAGTATTTAGGTTTCACGTTTTTAAAGTAATACTTGGAAAGTTGAACTATGAACCATCGTCGCATGTGTACCTTAATTTTTTTAGATTGGGTGCTGCATAAGTTCATAATTTCTAAAGCGTAACATTTTTCGTTTGTGTTTTTGTATATGTTGTCCATTAAACTAACAAAATTACAATTTTATTACAATTATTCTTTAATATAATCTTACTTAGTCGTATTTTTGTGTGGAGGTGTGTGGATGTTTGAACAGTACATTATTTGATAATTTACAATGTATGATAACCAACTAATAGTAAAAACTCATTGTGGTTGGCAGCCTAAGCGCATAAGCGAAATAATATAAAACGGAACTATAAGCAGCGAAGGTATCTATAATCATATTTAAAAGCAGACGAACCATTACTATTGTTCTTATTTAGTTTTTTAAAATTAAGATCTTAAACATCGACTTTTATTTAATCTTTTGTGTGTTTCTTTTAAATTATGCCTTATAGGTAATATTTATATTAAGCATATATATTAGATGTATGTTTTAATATATGTTTGTATGTATATATATTTAGTAATACGATTCGCGGTTTCAAACTAGTCCCTTGTACGTTTTATGTGTGTGTTTTATGGTTTGCATGTGTGTTAGTTTGTTTTTATTTAAATGGAAACAACAAACCCCAAAAAAGAAAGAAATTGAAAAACCTATTTGCTGTTGCTGCTCTCCAGAAATTCTTGTTAAAAGTATTTTAAATGCACGTACAAAACTATAAAACCAAAACTACGTTTACTTTAATATTTAATTCAAATGTTTCTGATGTTTGATTTCATGCCATCCAACTATGTTATAACAAAGCCGCACTATATAAAACATGTTGCTCTTTCCTTTTAACTAAATAATTATATTTAAATTAAGAAATTTAATGCTAGAGTTTCACGCGAATTTACATAAATATTTTTATGATCTGTTTATAATTGCATTTGACTTTTTGTTATTGTTCCATAATATTTGTGTAGATGTTTAGATTTTTATAATAAACGCATATCTTTATATTTTCCAGTTAATATATGTATATATAGTAGCATATGCATATAGAAAGCGAATATAGAAGCTACTCTGCAGATGAATTAACGAAGCAACGACAGTTGCCACATTCCCAGACGTTGCTTCAAATGAATTTTGATGAAAGGGGAAGTAAGTTAAAAACATCGCATCGAAAATTAATCAACCATCGTTGAGAAAGAAGTATGTGTAATTTAGTAGGTTTGTGTTGTGAAAGATCTCTTGAAAGTTTGCGTGCCACAGCCACTGCATTAAGCGGATCCTGTGAACTTGCATGAAAGTGCGTGCGAGCGTATCACATGCTCTTTAGGTCTGTACTAGGCCGCGTATGTCTGCCACAGTGGTCGTAGCTGGTGTGCAGCTGATTGAGCCACCAGCGCCGCTGGCACTGTTACTGTTGCTGCTGTGGCCGCCACCACTGCTGTCAACGAATAGCGTAGACGCATCAATGCCTGACGTGTTGGGCGAGTTCATCACCGAGGACACAGCGTTCACTAATAAATCATCGCCCACGTCGAGGAGATCGTTGAGAAACGCGCTGTCTGAGCCACCAATCGTCTGCTGTAGGCACTTAAGATTCTTATCAGCAATCTCAAGCGCTCGATCCACGGCTTCGCAATCGGCTTCTTGCACTGCACAGTCCATGGCGTTGGACACACATGAATTAGTACAATGGAAAGCATAAATCGTTTTATTAAATACACACCAGATTGGAAGAGCTCGTTAAACGCATCGTCCGGCAGCGTGTCGAACACATTCACCAGATCGTGCTCTTCCAGTAAATGGGCGCTATTCAATGCCATATCATCTACACGAGAAAAAGAGAATTAGGGATTAGTTTAAAAAATTATCTTGGTTTCAACAATGTGCATTACGGTTTTTTGTTTAAAGAAATAATTGCTAAATGCAGTTATTATCAATTCAGTTCTCTGAATTTAATTCAAATGAACTTGGCAACAGCTCAATTTTATATGCCCGGTCCTGAACCAACCGCAAAAAAAATTTTATTTTTTTAACTTTTCACGCACTCTGCTCTATTCGAGTTACTTACCCGCATCGTTTGCGCCTATAAGCTCCGACTCACTTAGCCCGCCGAGGCCAGTGTCCTCGGAGCTAGCATATACTGAGCTATTCTCACAGATTCCAAACATATCCTGCGTCAACATGCTCTCCGTGTTGGCCATATGATGCATGGGTCCGGTTCCTCCTACTGCCGTATTCATAGCACTAATATTGTGTGAGACATTAACGGCACCACCAAATGCCGTATTAAATGATGGAAAGCTGCTCCTGTTGCCACTGTTGTTGTTACTACTGCTGTAACTTATGTTGTTGTTGAAGTGTGAATTGTTATTGTTGTGATTCACCTCTCCGCTGGCAGCTGTCAACTGCGCCACAATTTGGCTGATCTCATCCACCTTGAAATTGGTATTCGCAAGTAAATTCACGTTGCCTCCTAATAAGTTATTGGCGTCCAGTTGATCCGCCTCAAACTTGGACACATTACTGTAGCCATTCTGATCGCTAAGAGGTGCCAGCGCCGGTGGTATGGATAACTGTGGTTGCGTACCATTATTTTGAAGAATGTTGTGGTTATTACGCTGTGGAATTATGGGCATTGATGTGAATGGCAACTGTGCTGCACCCGAAGAGTGTGAGTTGCTGGCAATTGACTCTAGCGAAGTGGTGCTGCTCTTCCGTTGCAACACCGCCGAAATGGGTGGAAGCACTGTGGGCAGTACTTCTACAGGCTCATGCACTTGCTGCTGCTTCTTGACCCGCTTTTGCGGCCTACCGACCGGGTTTCCAGTACCATTGGTTTTGCGCTTACGGGTACTAGCAGAACAGCGATTCCCAGCCGTGATCAGCGATTGCGTGGCAGTCTGACCCTTGAACGACGGCCGAATTCCAACAGACGCATGACCCTGGGTGTGCGAAGCATGCGGTTGAGGCAACTGCATCAATAGTGGCTGTGATTGCTGTTGCTCCAATACGCCTCGCTGATGACGATGGTTGGGGCAAAGCGCCAGCGCATGAAGCACGTCAAAAACGGGAGCCTGACAGGTTAAGCCATTCACACCTTTAGCCATACAGGGCACAAAAATTTGCTGCGTGGCATTGTTGACGATGTGCCTTTCACAGTGAGCAGCCATCGTCAGACTAATCTCAGGGCAGGACGGCACCAAGCATCGATTGACGCTAAAATCAAAAAAAAAATTGGAGGTATTATGATATAAGTTTGGATGAGTGACCATTATATATTTTGTGTATTATGAAAGTTGTCTTATTTAAATTGAGTTTTTATACCCTGTACCCAAAGGGTGAACTAGTTTTCTGCGAATGTATGTAACATGAATGTATATATATGAATGTATGTATATGTATTATTGATCAGGGTGACAAACCGAGTCGATATAGCCATCCCCGTCTGTCTGTCTGCATGAACGCAAGGATCTCAGAAAGTATAAGAGCTAGAATAACCAAACTTGGTATCCAGATTCTCCCAAGTCCGAGAAAGGACGCGTTTGTATTTATTTTCATATAAGGCATCTTAGACTAAAATTTGATGTCTCCAAGTTTTATAGTCTTCGAGAAATAGTTGATTATAAAAAGTATTAATTGCGGGGGAGTGGTGGAAGGAGGAAAATTACTGGAGCTGAGTAATCATATATGGCATCTAGGAGTAAAATGTTGTGTCCCTAGGTCTTATAGTCTCTGCGTTTCAGAAAATCAGCTATATCAGGGAAATGGGTGGGGTCCTTTTACAGTGGATAATATCTTAGAAATATAAGAATTGACTTACGTGGTGTTAAGCTCTGCGGCATGATCCTTGTACTTGAGGATCAGGCTCTGTACACACTGCAACCGCTTCCGTGCAGCCCTTACGGGTGATTCCTGCAGTGTGCGCGTGGACAGAAGCTGCAGAGCCTGACGACGCAACATGCTCTTGCGCACTGCGATTCGCTCCTCCCGCCGATTACTCAGAGACACCAATGACTCGGCACCCAGATCTTTACTGGCATGCAGCCACTTTGTTTGTATGCAATAAGGCAGGTCATTGAACTCAGGCTCAAGTTCCGTAGCGAGCGTTATGAGCATCTTGTTCGTTTGCTTAGTGCGTTGTGGCCTTGACGTTACCGCAGGGGCTACAAGATCGGTTGCATTGGGCATGATCTGTTCCAGTTGGAATTGCAACTGCGTCTGCGTTGGTAGTGTTGGCAACATCTTCGCAAGTGCAGGCACGTTTTGGGCAGCGTATTTTTTGGCTGCAGCTCCAACTGTTTTGCTGGCTCTCCTGCCGGCGCCAGAATCACCGTTTGTTTTACGTATGGGCGCGGCGACAACCGCGGCAGCATTGGCAACTTTGGAAGACATGTGTTCTACATGTTGGTTGGACATGTTGGTTGGTGGTGGTGGCAACGCCAATTTCAACGACGGGGATGCATGAGTTTGCGCATGCACAGCTTTGGCGACGAGGGCGGGTGTGTTTGAGGTTGCAGCTGTACTTGCAAGTGTTGGTGCTGCTGATTGAGATGGTGTGGACACCGGCGGTAACTGTGGTAACAGATTCGACAGCAAGGCCTGTGACGGGGGTGTAAGTGGTACCCCTGGCGTCAGATGTGCCACAGCGCCCAGCTTTCCTGTCTGGGGCATCCTCATCTTACCATTCTTGGATTTTGGAGCGTTAACAAGTTTGGAGCCAGCTTGCTCTGTGCAACTTTCGTTGCCTACCAACACGGACGGCTTACGAAAGATGACATTGACAGGTATCTCATTTAGATCCGAATCATCTGCAACTGCTGTTGCAGCCACATTGGCGGAATGTTTATGTGTTGCTGTTAATGTAACTTTTGTGCGTTGCAACGTCGCAGTGGCCACAGCTGTGAGCGATTCCGCAGCCGCCGGCGAGGTAAACACTGTCAGTGGAGGCGGTTGCGTCAGATTGTAGGCCAGCGGCAGCTTGTTGAGCGATTCAAAAGCATTATTATTGTTGTTAGTGGTGCATATTAACGGCGAGGACTTTTTCTTTTTAAGACACTCAACCTTCTGCAAATGTTGCGCTAGCGTGGTATGGTGAAACTTGGAAGGCGGCAACGGCTGTCCAACGGCAACAGCAACCTTTGGTGGTGAGGCAGGAACCACAATTGGTGCCACCATGGCGGTAACAGCTGCAGTCGGTGGTACTGTGGCGGTGCCCGTGGGTGACGTGGGTAACGAGGCGGGCGATGTGGGTGGGCTAACGACGAGTGCAAGCTGCGGTGCGTTTGTGTTAGAATTAGTAGCGGGCGAAAGCAACGTCGTTTGCTTCGCAACGGCACCGCCGATACCAGTGTCCAAAATTAGCGGCGTCTGCCACAGCGAGGGTGTGTGTGTATAAAGCGGTGGTGGTGGCGGCAGGATCGGGGCCAACTTCTCCAGCTTTAATTGTACCTGTTGTTGTTGCTGCTGCTGTTGCTGCTGTGGTCGGACAACACAAACATTTGTTCCACGTTTCGGTGACGCTTGTGGCGACGGCTTCGTCTGCGACTGCGATTGAAGCTGCGATTGCGTTGGTGTTTGCGATTGCAATGATTGCTGCTTCTGAGATTGCGTGACATTACTAAAATTCGTTGTTATTGCGTTGTTGGGCCCAACTGTAGCTAAAGACGCCTGCGCCTTTGCTGATACAACTGCTGCTGCTGCCGCCGCTGTTGTCGCGACGTTTCTTGTTGTTGTGGTAGTTGCTGTGCCATTCAACTGTGCAAGAGGCGCCGTTGCAACTTTTTGATTTGCAACAATGGTTTGCTTTGTGTTCACTGTTGTAGCTATCGATGAGGCCGACGTTGTTGTTGCTAATGTTGGCTTATTGTTATTGTTGGTGGAGGTGTTGTTGTTATTATTGCTGCTGTAGTAGGTTTTTATATGCTGCAGTTCGTTTAAGCGGGCTCGCGATTTCTGCAAAGCAAAATGGGTAAAATAAAAACAAGAATCAAAACAAATCTATGACAAATGCCCTTTGACCTTTTGGGGCTTTCCTCTTACCTGTGCATTAAATAAAATTGGCGGTGTGGCTGAAACAGTCTCGGTGAATGCATATGGATCCTCTGGCGTTAGCGTTGTCGTCTTGATGGAGGCCGCAGTTGCGGAAGAGGCGCCGGCGTTTTGCCCTAGTGTTGTTGTCGTAATTTTTCTAGTTCCTGGACTTGCTGTTGTTGCCGTTGTTGCTGTTGTTGTGATGAATCTTGACACTTGCTGACATGACATGTCCAATGTGAAGCCGTTCCCTTGTTTGATGCTGCTGCAGTTCCTCCGCTCCTGTCGTCTCGGTTTTGCTTCTGCCCGCTTCTATTTCTGTTGTTTATTTATTTTATCTGCTCTTGCTTTTTGTTATTTGATCTGCAAGTATGTATGTATGTATGCAGAAATGTCATGCAATTAGTAATTGCCTAAAATTTGCAATTCGAGCAGAAATACATAAAAAGCAAAGAAAAAGCTTTGTTTGATAAAGCAAAGGGCGTTGTTTGTCACGTGGACGACGAGCGATTCATTTTATTTTTTTTTTTTTTAATTTACACACAGTTATAAATATATGTATACATATACATTTATTTGTATTCGCACTTTCCGTTCATATTTGAATACATTTTGCGGACACTGCAACTAACAAACGAAAACGATAATAAAAACAAACTACAATCAAAATAAATAAATCTGATTTCTTCGACCCGCCCGCCCCGTGAACGTCGACGATAGCAAACCAGTTCAAGACAATTCGCTTTCTTTCTTCTTCGCCGTCTTCGCGTCTTTGGTGGCGAAATAAAAATATAAGCGCACATATGTACGTACGATTGTGCATATTCGTATGTATGTACTCGTGCATATATACATACATATGTATAAGAAACGCTGATAATAAAGAAACATCGCCACAATTTAAAAACAAACAAATGAACTCATACCCAGAGCAGAACAAATTTAGCAATAACAAAGACGCACCAAAATTTGCATTTCAAGCACAAGAGAAAAGAAGAAAAAAACCAAAATTATTGAAAGTAAATAATAATACAGCGAACTTTGACAAACAAATTCATCGGCATATGTGCAGGTAGGAGGGCGGATCAATAAGCACCCGAGTTAGAGTTATTGTTTAAGGAACGTCTGTTTTTCATAAGCTAGTGAACCCGAAGGACGTTGTCGCCGAGGAAATCGACGCTGATCGGGATATTAAAATACCCGAAGTACCAGATGCCACACGCGTGCTAGTGACGTTTACATGACATGCTCGGTCCCATTTAGACAGAAGCAACTGTCCCACGACCAAGAACCAAGTACGAACTGTATTTAGAATTACTCTGAGTTGCAGTAACCTGATAGTCGATGTCCCACGTGGCGACTTTCAAAATTAGTAGGACTGTCCCTTTGAGCCGGTATAGTGGCTATAAGGTATTTATGCGTACTAGAGCTGTATTTGTACCAGTATTTGTATATAAACTTTGGAAAATGCGGGAAGAGCTTTGGGAAAGAATAAAAATGCATAGAATTACGAAATTTATGAAAAACCACGATAAACGGATACTTGGGGTAGAGGACAATTTTGAAATATCCTTGTACTTTATTCTAGTAGGGTGTCTAGAATCAAAACCTTGTGTGCTAGCACTAATAGTGTCCAAGATCTAGGTGATTATACGAATTTTTGAAAAATCTCCTACATATAAATAAACCTGCACTGCGTACACATATAGTATAAGACATCTGTGTGCTATATACAAGATGTGTTCCAAAGTAAACAGGACTTAACAAAAAAAACAGAACAAATGGTTTTTTCGCAAAATCAATTTATTTTATTCAAAATAGTTTCCTTCTGCTTCAATACAGCTTTTTGCACGATCCAAAAGCATGTCGAACGAGTGTTTTAGCTCGTTGGCCGGTATGGCCGCCAGTATGCCGGTGAATAGCCTTTTGAATAGCCTCTACGTCTGCATAACGCTTTCCTTTCATGGGCAAATGCATTTTTCCGAAAAGGTAGAAGTAGCACGGTGCCATATCAGGTGAATACGGCGAGTGGTTAATGGTTAAAATGTGATTTTTTGTCAAATAATCGGTCACAAGCGTCGATCGATTCTGAGCACTTTTTGGTCGTCAGTCAATTTGTGCGGAACAAACCATGCAAACACCTTTCGTAAGCCCAAATGTTCGGTCAAAATGCGATAAATCGATGTTTAGGAGATGTTCAATTCCATTTCCATCAATTTCAATGATTATTTCGGCTGATTTTTGATGAATTCACGCACAGTTTCGATGGAATTTTCGGTGATCACGAATTTTGATTGGCCCACATGTTGATCGTCATTTATATCCTTACGACCACTTTGAAAACGTTGAAACCACTCGTGCACTCTGCTACGGGATAGGCAATCATCGCCATAAACTTGTTCCATCAATTGAAACGTTTCGGTAAAAGATTTACCAATTTTAAAACAAAATTTAATGTTGGCTATTTGTTCGAAGCTCATTTTCGCATCGATAACACAAACATACTGACACTTAAAACGCAATAACTTCACTTCCAATCGTCATGAAATATTCACTGGACCATCGATAAAGATAGCAGATTCCAACGCACCAGTCTACATATAGATAGCGCCACCAGGGGGCGTTAGATTCAAAAAGTCCTGTTTACTTTGGAACGCACCTTGTAGTGTTTTATATTAAATTTATGGTCTCAGTTGAACAGACGGGCAAATTGACATGTCTATATCGCTTTGTCTATAACATTGGGTCTCCGACCACTCCTTCCGCCTGTTAAATTACAAGATTAGTATGGAATACCTGTAAAAAAGTGCGGCAATATGTGGTAATAATGACGCCTTCTACGCTAGTTACAAATTGTATGGTCCTTATGTTCGATTAGTACTTCAACTCTACGCTCATACGCACGTAAGTGCGATCTATTGATTACACACTTTATCTTTACCTATGTTTTTGTTTATTTTTTTAAGAAACACGGGAAAAACCGGAGTATTCACTTATATAGACAATGAATGTTAAAGTAAGTATGTACATGTATATCTACATACATACATACATATGCGGGAACGTATTTATGAATGTGGTTGTGTTTATACGTGACGGTGTTGTTTATTATTTATTTTGATTTAGTGACTGGCGGTTCACAGCAGCAATTATCGGGGTCCATGCGGTTGAAGCCGCAGAGAAAAAATAACCACAAAGCAATGTTCCGCTAGCGACTACAACAGCATTGAGAACCATCTTTAAGGTTAAAAATTGGCGAACATTGACAAAAAGTAAACATACATATGCGTTTGTTAATGCATATGTATGTACAATTTCATGTGTACATTTTGAGCCTCAACCATAATACTATTGGCTTTGCGTCGTTTACAAACCTTTTATTATGAACTTTTTATTTTATAACTTAACTTTCTTATGGCAGCTAATTGATAATAGTTGATTTAAATTGACTATATGTTCAACAATATACATATGTAATCCACACACATCATATAGGTTGAGACCCTTATAAAACTGACGGACGGAACTAACGGGGGCTACAATTATGATTTTACAGTAATTGGTGCTCATATGGGCGAACGGACATGCTAATATATGTATGTACCTATAACAAGGGATTGCCGCGCCACGTTTTGGACGTTACAAATATCAAACAAAACGCATATACCCTCAGAAAGGGTATAATAACCAGCTTCATACACAAAACAACAAATCTAACAAGCAAATAAAAGAAACCAAGCCAAAGAAGACAGTCGATAATTGCAATAATGACGACGCTGAATGTAGTGGTTAGGGTTGGTAATTTCCGCTGTGGTTCTTGTTGCCTGAACGTCTTTGTCAGGGCTCTTTTCCACAAAACCAGCCACTTGGTCTCTTTCGGCTATGGTCGTAAATGTTAACTGGTTTTAAGTTTCCACGATCTTTGAAATGCCTTAAATGATAAGCTAAGCAAAAGCCGGAAAAATAAACTCGGATTAAGCAACCTGAAGTTTCGTCACAAAAACCAAATTTAAGAAGTACGTGCAAGAACTATCTTAGAAACTTGACAGATCTTTGTAGGCTACGGAAAGCGAGATTTGCATGAAAGGCTTGACTATAATATATGTATATCTATCCTTTTTTATAGTAGCTTCTACGCCGCCTCCACCTATTTAAGACATATTTGATTGAAGTGCTTAATTGCTAAATATCAATCAAAGCTTCGCTGTTTAATTTGAGCGAGGTATTGCTTAAGGCCATCGCCTTCTTCATCAAGAAGGTAGGTACAAAGCTGTGTGAGCGATTTGATAGTTTGCAACGTTGCGATTAAGCGCCATTATACTCATAAATAAAATGCACTACCTGTTCAATTCTTAGTTATTTGTAAAACTTAAATATGTACGTACGTATATATGTAATACTTGTAACAAAATATGATATGATAATACGCTAAACATGGTCTGTTACGCTAAGTATTTCCCTGAAATAAAGATCAGCAACAGTATCTGCATCGACGCAAATGCAAAGTAAAAAAAAATAACAATAAAATGCAGGAAAGCCGAACCAGTTTGCTTCCTTCATAACCGGAAACTGAAGGCTAAATGTGACAACAAAAGAAATAAAATGCCGTTTAATACCAAAACAACAACAATAATAACAGCAAAATCGAGTACGGCAGATGGAGGCAATGCGCCAACGGGCAACCCAGCAGACCAAGTACCAACACATACATTTATGTAGGTATGTCCATGTGTATGTAGGCCTCCGTCACTTCCCACTTAATTTTTCTACCGTTTGCTTTCAGTGCGCTCAATAATTTTCCACACTCATACATATATATTTTTTCTTTCGCCACTCCGTTGGCAGCTGCCAAACGCACACACATTTACAAACATATGTGTATAGGAGTGGCGTTCAGAAATTTAGCGTTTGTATTACTCTCACTACTGTTTTGGTTAAAACGCGAGATTTTGGCTTCCCACACACGATCGTCACAATGGCTGCGTTCAACGTAACAGTGCCAGGTACAAGCACAGTCACACTACAATGGTATTCAAAGCAAACCAAAACAAATTATAAATTGTGTGTAGTGTAAATGAACTCTATCCATTGAAGCAAAAACGTTTAGTATGATTTCGTGTTTCCATTTCATGTTTCCACACATTTTTACATACATATGCATAAAAGCGCACTCAAGAATCGCTGCTGCCGGCATTTTAAATATTCTCTTATTTTGGCCGTTTCCCAAGGCGGTGACGGCAGCAACAACGTCGCGGCGTCGCCCTTTTCTTTCTTTCATTTTCTTTTTCGTTCTCTTTCTCTTCATTTCGTTTCGAGACACTCACACCAAGACTCAGCTACAAATGGCCCACACCCATACATACATATATATGTACGTGCGCATACACCATGCCACTGCACTTTAATACCTTATAATTGCGCACATGCATTTGCACTTGTATTTAGTTTTGAAACACAATAGTAACATCTACCTTTCCTTGCCGTTTGAAAAATTTTCATCATTGTCAACACGTCTAGTTGCTTTTGTTATTTGCAATATGCGTCGTGATCACTTTGTTTCGGCGTTGTCTGAATTGCTGCAAAACAAAAATGCGTCACAAGCAGCAGCAGCGGCGCACACATACTACAACTACAGAGAGTACAGCGAGAAACTTAACCGAGCGAGCGAGCGAGAGTCTGTCCGACCGTTGGCGACTCAAACGTCAAACTGGTGCACTAGCGCTTGAAACACAGACAACCCTTGCAAAGTGCAGAGTTGCCACTTTGCAAACGGAGGTGTTCAGTGAGTAATCAGCCGACAATCATATTGAAAAATATGCAATAACTATGACAAAAACAGAGTGCATTTTTAAGCACTGCGTTTATTGCAGTTATTGGCAGTTGCTTTATAATGTAGACAATTTTTTCGTTTTCATTTCAAATATGAGAAGCGTGCGTTTTTCCCGCGCTCTTTGCTCCGTTTACAAATACAAGCATACACCATACAAACAAATCGACGCTCACACATACACGCAAACGGCGCAGCCCACACAATTCCGCTCACAAACACACTCATCGGCAATTACGACAGCAACAGACCTGGGAATTTTTTCGCAAGACAATTTTTTTCTTCGTATCACAATTACACTTTGAAATGCAATTTTCGCCTTTAAATGTTGGATTTGGCAACTTGAAACGATTACTTGATTGTAGACGAATACTTTGTTTAGCACTATATTGTGTTTAGTTTATTTGGGCATTGACTTGAATATGGTTTTTATTAAATTTATTATTCAACTTCGCAGCAAGATGAGAGGAGACAACACGCAACTAAGATGGCGGACTGCTCTGTGCAATTGTATAGGTGCTTTTTGGGTGTGTTTGTATATGGTGCTGCCGGACCGGTTGCCTTTATACAAAAATTGTACCATTCTTTCTAAATTGTACCTAGCATATATTTGAAATAAATTTTGTTTTGGAAAAGCGGGTTATTTTAGCGGTTATTTATTTATTTTTTTTTCTGAACATACATATAAACTATCTAAAAATGAATCAAAATGTATTTCAAAGTTATACTCAAAAAATTCAACAATCCCTCATTAACTCTATTCCACCTCACAATTGTGTTCTGGAAACTCACGAACCACCTCTCCAATAGCGGGCACGGGGCAGCTTTCAAATTATACAATCTCTCATAGAAATCGAGGTTTGACACTCAGTCATAAGACAGACTCGGAGCATGGTTCGTGGTGCTAACCAGCAATCGCACAACATAGAGTACAACATATGTACATTTGTAGCTCGAGGAATAATTTCTCTTCAAACTAATACATATTTAAATCAAACAGAAATCACCATAATTCGTAACCATGACTAGAAGAACTCGTTCAGTTAGGGTCAGGGGCACAGTTGAAACTTTTACTACTTCTGTCTTTGTTGTTTCTGTAGCTATTTGCTTGCTGACATTGAGTGGAAATGGTATGAATGAATGGAGAAGAAGACGAAGGTAAGAATTATACTAACAGAGGACTGATCTTATGCTTTATCATTTAAGTGCAGCTCAACTAGTTGGTGAATGTACGACCACAGCAGCGGATGGGGCAGCGCCAGGCAGATGCATGCCGCTACTCGACTGCGAATTCTTTATGAGGATTCTCTCAAAGAAAAATATATTTGAAAGCGAAAGAGCCCTGCTGCGTGAAAATCGCTGCGACATGCAAAATCCCAATGTGCAGGTAATTAATGCTATAAATTCGCAAATTATTGCAATATCACCTAATCGAAGTTATTACCAATTGCATCTATGCTTAAACATATGTACATACATACAAACATATACCAACTATGTATGCATATATGGTTTTTAAAAATACGTTACGAATATATTCACATTTACATTTTTTCGTTTGCAGATATGCTGCCCATTAGACTTATTAAACAGGGGGACCGACAGAGAACGTCGACCAGTAAAAACACGGGGCCTGGCTGTGTCAACGCACCCGCTACTACCTCAGACTTGTGGCGTCGCCAAATGGGAACAGTCCGAAAATATTGAATCCAAAATAGATGAATACCCATGGTTGGTGCTCATCGAGTTTACAAAAGGTGCGTTTATAGAGATTAAACCTTATCAGTCTGTGCCTAATAATAGTGACTCTTGTGCTCGGTATTTTTCAATATTTATGTATAAAAGTTCGTTTCTTATCGCTGGGTTAATCCATTACCAAACCTTTTGCTCATTCCTACAGAGAACAAAGAGAAAATACACGCATGTGGCGGAGTCTTAATCAGTGAACGCTACGTCTTAACTGCTGCCCATTGCATTAGAGTACCTACATGGGAAGTCACTGCCGTAAGACTGGGGGAATGGGACACGTCCACAAATCCAGATTGCACCTTAACTTTAAATAAAACTACTCAATGTGCTCCTCCGTACCAGGATGTTCCAGTGGAAGAGATAATCGTACATCCACTATATGACAAACAGAACCAGTCTCAACTTAACGACATTGCGATGATACGGCTGCGGATACCGGCACAGATTGGCTATTACGTACAGCCCATTTGTCTGCCCAGCCAGCAGCTGCATGCGGATGAGCTCGCGGACCTCGAAGTGGAAGTGGGAGGGTGGAAAGCTAAGTCTAGTACACGTATGAACAAGGGCAAAGCTGTTGTAATGCCCATTGATAAGTGTCAGGAAACTTATAGTAACCATGGGCTGCGTATCCAGTCATCGCAATTGTGTGGCACCGCAAATACCAGTGAGTGCTTCGGCAACGCAGGTGGACCCTTGATGATTTACAAGGATAAGACGTACATATTGGGTGGTGTTCTGTCATTTGGCCCTGTGCCCTGCCCAACTGTTGGCTGGCCGGATGTGTACACTAGGGTTTCTTCATTTGTTGAATGGATCAAAAACAACTTAAGGGCATAGCCTAGTAGCACAAATAATAATTCAATTGTATTCAAATTGATTCAATTGATTGCTGCAATATTTTTTAAGATGATCCTTTCCATAAAACAAATACATAAAATATGGATTTGTTGGCTTCACTTATACTCGTATATACTATATAGCATTCAAAGTATTTTATTTCGTACATAACATTTACAGCGAATCACCCTCGACCGAAGCCTATGTAAGTATGTACGTATGCATATGTAAATTGTATTACAACTAATTTAGAGCTCGAATTGGATGTACGGAGGTGAAATACACTTGCAGAATTTGTATTCACATTTAAAATCGGGTATCGGGAGTAATGGTGGTTTGAATAAAATTTTTGACCATTACATTTTTTTTTGTGCTATAACAAGCAGTCAGTTTGCAAAACATGCATTGAAGAACTTATTTTTAATGTTCAATGGCAAATCTTGTTCTACCTACCCATAACAGACTGGGTACGCGTAAACTCACAACAGTTGTGCTCGGAGGCATCGGGAAAGATTAAGAAATCTATTTATAAAATCAAATATTACAAAATAGGAATACAACGAATAAATTACCTCAACGACCTGGGGAATCAATATCGGATCTAATTAACTTCTAGCGGATCACCACAAAAATTTAAAAGATCATTTAAAAAGAGGCTAAGTCATAGTAGCATAAGCTGTTTTCATGTTTCAAACCTCACCTTTAGTGTAAGCTCAGTAAGTTGCAAAACCTTATTAAAGTTTGTTTAAAAGTTTAGGAATAACAATTTCTCCTCCTTTTCTAATTGTAAAAAGTGGCGATTTATTTCTCAACATAGCGATTTACCAACTTTCTTAACCAGTCTGAAAAATACTTTTTCGGGAAGTCTACAAAGTAATTCGACTCAAATTACTGGCTGGCGAAGTTTCAAAACAAAATCCGGAGAAAAGGGTGGAGTGGTAGGGGCAGCAGTTGTCATATACATCTGAATTGTGTTTATAGGGTTGAGCCACAGCAGAAACAACAGCAGCCTCTAGGTATGATTAATTAATTATTATACGAACGACGTTACGGAATACCCTATAGTGGGGAAGTGCATACAAAATTAAAAAAAACTACACATGAGGCATTTGGGCACAAAATTTGGAGTCTCTATATATTACAGGTCCGTAGATCCAGGATGGACAGACACAGCAAGATCGACTCGTCTTGTCATGCTGATCAAGAATATACATATATACTGTGGGGTCTGCCACGACTCCTTCTGCCAGTTATATTTTCACTTCGCACAATTCTAATATGTATTCTCTGGTACCTTTTAATTACAGATGTACGAGTATATAAAAATGATGTGTTCCCTTTTCTTTATATCTAGATGCAAAATTTATAAGCAAAATCACACTTTTAATTAATTTGTTTAATTTGTATATATATTATAGACATAGGTGCACAGTAACACAAAGTCGCGACACCCGACATTAGCTTTTCCACTTCCTGTTATCGTAAGGAATTCCCAAGCAATTATTGGCAACCGGGTTGCTATCAAGCAATTAATAATTTCCATTAAATTCCGTGAAAATTAAAATTTGGAAATGTAAATTTAACAAAATATCTAAATATTAGGCCTCACAAAGTACTCGTATATACATATGTATATTCTTGATCAATCCGACCGTCCGTCGGCCAATCTGTCTGTAACAACACAGTGATCTCAAAATACATATAATAACCAAATTGGTATCCATCGGTATCCATCCAAATCGGTCCCATAGCGGATAATTTACTGTTTTTGTTGATGATGCAACCCCACTTCACACTTTTATTTGATTTTCTAAAACTATTTCTTCATTTCAAAGAAGCAGTTATGAAATATTTTTTATGCGATCAACAAGAATTTAATTTTGATTACAAGTATTATATAGTATTTTTAATACGACATTGAAATTGATCACAAGATGTGTGTTCATTTAAATATCGAGAAATGCTTTTGAAAAGGTTGTTTTTTTACCAAGCATTTAATTATAAATCTTTTCCTAAAAATTATAATTTTTTAAATATGAAAACAACGCAAAATTGAAATTAAAGCAGGAATATCTGAGAATAGCAATCGTGCATGTATATACTGAAATTTCATTTCATTTCAATTTTGCCGCCAACAGTTTGAAACCGTCGCTTTTTGGTTTAATTGTATGAATTTCGCATTAAGCCAGCTGGCAACGCCATGACGCTATGTGCTGCTGTAGAAAAAATATTATATTCAGACGCGAGCACAGCTCTGCTGTTACATCTAATTTGATTTCGCTAGTAAATAACAACTTCAACTTCTTGCAAAAAAAGCTGAAACGGTGCTAAAGGTGTTAGTGAAGTGTTTGTCTGCGATTTGATAATGGCTGAAGCTGTAAAAACAGGTAAAAAATTAGTGCTGAGCCATAAACATAGAAACAAACTTCACCGACAAATGGCGACTGCTTTATTTGTTTTTTTTTTTATTACTGCTGCACTCAGAGGCGGCGCTGCCACTTTGTTTTCTATGTCTACAGTTGTGGATTTTCTTTATTTGAATGTACATACGTAGTAAATAGATTCGTACATTATTGACAGAAATGGCATATTTGCAAAATGTTGCTTAAATTGACTTACATATACATACATACCTGTAATTAATATTTGGACTTCGTCGTAGTTCAAGAGTTGTAGTTTTATCGCTGACTACGAATTACTGACCACACAGCGTTGCATTCTTTTAAATTGCGCCAAAAGAAAACAGACAGGCAGTTTTTTATTTAAATATGAATCTTTTAACATTTTAGAAAAAGCGGCCACATCAAGGCAAAGAAATTCAGATGGTTGTTCGTCAGCGGCTGCTCATAAGCAACTTCCTAAGCGCAAGCATAGGCGGGGAAAGAAATCGAAAATGGTTCCAAAAAAGTCAAAGAACCAATATGCGCCGTGGAAAATGGATCTGCTTCCCCGACCCAAATATGGTAACAAGAATGATTGTTTCGCAGTTGGAAACTCTGGGAAAGAGTCAAATGCCAGCGCAGTCACAAATGCACGCACCAAATTGTTGCGCTCGCGCTCTCTTCTCGTGCCTTATAACACTAACCGCTTTCTAATGGAGGAGCACATGTCCGAATTGCCGAAGGACGATTCGGATGACAATTGTTTTGGATCTCAGACTGATGACCAGGAGCTCTTTCTCTCGAAGGAGTTCTCAAGCGTGTACGAGCGTGCGCGTGTTGAACGATTAGAAACAATGAGCAAACAGGAATTAATACAAGAGTGCCTGCAAATCGAAGACCGCTATTCTAAGGATCAAGGGCGACAGCGTCTGCAAAATTTGAACGCTCAAAATATATCGAAAGAGTATGGCGCTAAGATACGTTCTCTAGAGGAAAAGATCCGTGAGCTGGCGCGCGAAAACCAAAGTAAGCGCACAAACCTTTTTGCGAAACGTAAATAATTATATATATTTTTTTTAGTTTTGCGCTCGCATCTTATACGTTCGCCCACGTCCACAGCAGCTGCAGCAGCGGCAGCATCACCACCCTCGGCAGCCGCGCCCACTGCGAGTACAGCCCGAGAACTCCAGGCGCGACACCAGACTCAACAGCCGACTCCAATGGATTCTTCCAGCGAGGACAGTGAAAGTGATAGCAGCAGTACAACGTCGACCACTACTTCAACTTCATCATCGAGCAGCGAGGGACACGAGATGGGCGTCGCAGGCCTGAACATTGCGAATGGCCATGCGGAGCGTAGTGCGCAACGCCACAGCCGCAGCCGCTCCAGGTCGCCTATTTTGGCAAATGGGCATGCAAATGAAGAAGAGCGATGTCGACTGCTTGACACAAATCAACTAGACGAGGAAGACAATTCCAGCGAAGATGCAAAAAACGTCGAAGAAGATGTCACCGCAGGCAAATGAGCGTCATTGCTCCCACAGCGTGTAAATAAAACTCACTTATATAATATAAATCGTACGATCATACGGAGTAGAATTTAGCAGCCTTGAGTCCCCCCGAGTTATTTTTAATAGCTAGTTTAAACAAAAAAAAAACTCAAAATTAAAAGGCGATGTAAAAATTCAATCTCGAAATCATATCCAAAAATGTTTCAGAGATTTAAATTTAAAACCGATTTTTAAACGTACATGTTATTATTTTTACTGGTCAGATAAAATTGTAAATCGTCAGGGTTGAGATTAACTAGCATTTCATCTAATTAAGATATCGCTGAAAACAAAAACTGTTATTGCATGAAGTAAAGAGTGTCGAACCTAATTAAACATAAATATTCTTAAATTTCAAAAAATTGCCAAGACAAAAAAAAAGAAGAAAGTCGCGCCTTGTTGATATTAAACATATAACTTAATCACTTTGTTTTTTACACTAATAGGTTCATGTCTAGTGCCCCCTTTTTTATATTGATAAACTTAATATTTTACAACTTCCAATGCATCTAAATTTTTATTTTAGTCTTAAAATAACCAATACTTGTTTTTATTTTACTTAAGATTAAAAAAAAAGATATAAATTATGAATAAAATGTTGAACTCGAATTAATAGCTAAATTTTACATGCGTGATTGTTTATGGCTTATCAGTTTCTGCGCTTTTTATATCTTGACTTCTGTTAGCTATTAATCTAACAAAGGAACTGTAGTCAGTGGAATATAAGGTTCTTGAGATGCCAGCATAAGCCATACCCAGAAGCTTTTCTTCCGCTGCTGTAGCCTGGTGTTGTACTAGAAATCGTTTCGGTCCTCGCACGGGCATCCACCCGCTGACAGGTATTGCATTGGACACCATGCAGCTGCGCACGGCGATATTGATTCCCAGTTTGCCCACTGCATCATCGCGATACTCTGTGATCATTAGATCCGCAATGCCGATATCATTCAGGGCGGAAACAACATGTCCTATATCGCTAAAATGTTGTAGATAGTTGCTATGGATAAAATTGATCAAATTCCTAGGTTCCGTGCTGAAAGCTTCGGCTATTTCCTCGGGACTGTGCTGTAGGTGCTTTTCCTCCGTAACTAGATGCAATAAAATATCATATTTATAGTTGTAATGGAATGTTTCACAGCCATTTTAAAATACATCTATCTATCTATATACATATACATTAATACATGACAGTATGAATTTTGAATTTCATTTGTCAGTCACTTTTTCATCTGTTTGTCAGTGTTTCATTAGTAAATATTGAAAATTGTAAAATCGAATTCAAAACAAGTAGAGAAGCTAAAGTCGGGTGTCCCGACTTTGAAATAATCTTTACACGTGCTTAGAATAATTACAAAAATTAAAAAATTAGGAAAATTAAAAAAAAAAATTTGATTGATTTTACCATTCTCGGTATTCGAACTCACGTAAAGGGTGTATAAGGGTGTATTGTACATAGCAATTGTGACAATGTGAGTGTATGCATGTCTATACGTGTCTATTCGTGTCTGAGTGAACATATTTGCAGTCAACCAAACAGCAACATAAATAAAAGCTGCGGGCAGCGCTTGGGCAGCCTATCATAATGAAACTTGGCACACGGACGTATAATCACTAACTGGAGGTACTTGCCAGAATCGTAAAAATTAATTAAACTGGCACAGCATACACACATAAGGCATCATTGTGCAAAATTTAGTGTCCCTAGCTCTTATAGTCTCTGAGATCCAAATAAACTCTCTCTTAAAATAAACTCGTATAGACTAGGGGCGCCTGCATACCAAGTTTGGTTTATGTACGCTCAGCCGTTTTCGAAATCCAGGCGTTCATCCAGACAGACGGACCGACGGACGGACGGACATGGCTATATCCACTCGGCTTGTCATCCTGATCAAGATCGATTTCTCTCGTCATGCCGATTTATGGGGTCGGAGATGTTCCTTCTGTCTGTTACATACTTTGCACAAACCTAATTTTACCATACGGGTACAGTGTATAAAAATGACACAAAAAAACCATCTATTGGTAAAAAAAAACACACAAAATCAAACAAGAAACGAATGCTAAAGTCGAGCGAGCTCAACTCTTAATTACCCTGTACCTCCCACAGAAAGGAAAAATGGAAAACAAAATTTTTTATTTAATTTAAAAAATTATATTATTGAAATTAAATACAAATTATTCAATACATATGTATGTATGTACTTATATACAAAAGTGGAGACATGTTCATGTACAGTTACAACATTTACATCAGAATCGTGTCTCTGTGTGTATGTATGCAGCACAAAGTTGAACCAAAGCAGCAACAACAGCTGCAGGCAGAGTTGCAGGCAGAGCATGGGCAGCGATTTTATTTATGGCTATAACTTTCTTCAAAATTTCCCTATCATGATGAAACTTGGCATACGGATACATAGGCTCAAACTGGATGTAATTTGAGTTAAGAATTACGGGAGTTATGAAAAACAAGAAAAGAATGCTAAAGTCGAACAAGCTTAACTCTTACATCAGAATCGTGTCTCTGCATGTTTATATGCGTGTATGTATGCAGCACAAAGTTGAACCCAAGCAGCAACAACAACAACAGTTGCAGGCAGCGCTACAAGCAGAGCATGGGCAGCGATTTTATTTATGGCTATAACTTTCTTCTGAATTGACCATGATGAAACTTGGCATACAGACACATAATCACTAACGAGGTGTAGCTACCTAATTTTAGTTCGAAATTCCAAGAACTACGGGAGTTATGGGAAAAAAACACGAATTTCGGGGGAGTGGGGGGGGGGGGTGTATCAGAATAAAAAAATAAACTTGACCTGCCTAGGGCTTATGGGAATCTGGATACCGAGTTTGGTTATTCTAGCTCATGTAACTTCTGAGATCCTTGCGCTCATACAGACGGACGGACATGGCTATATCGACTCGGTTTGTCACCCTGATCAAGAATATATATACTTTGTGGGGTCTGCCACGGAGTGTACAGAGTATTTTAAAGTCGACTTTAGCTTTTCTACTTGTTTTAAATCACTTTCGTTCAATATTGTTAAGGAAATCAGGGAATCAATCATGTTTTCACGTTGAAGAGAAATTGTGGTCGGGCATGAATAGCGAGTCCTGTGGGACTAGACTAGGGTAAATAGATGTAATCATCGCATGATATTACGTTCGCCCTATGAAATCCTTACAGATATATAAAAAATGTTTGTACACTTACGTTTTGGATTAAAGATGCGTCCAAGCGCATGCATCATTGTGATAGACTCGTCCCGTCCGATTGACTTTAATGTGCTTTGGGCTTTGCGCTTACGACTTTTCATAGGTTTTGCCTCCAGCTGCATGGTTGGCATATTGGGGGCACCTTTAAGCGATGCAAAGTGCAGATTAATCAAGGCATTTCTAATGTCACCTTGAGCACACACAACTATTGAGTCCACCACTGACTGTGAGGGCACCTTGTATGTGCTTGCATGTTGTTGCCGCATCAGCGTACAAACGCGTTTCATCGACTTCTGCATTATGCTCGATGCAATGGCATTGAAGCTGATGTGCTCTATGCGAAATTTGGATTTCAATTGGTCCGTAAATAATTTGTAACTAATGTTAAGGCCGCGCGATTTTGCATCGGCCACAATAAAAACTAACGGGGACTTTCCATAGCTGACATATTCACTAAAAGTTTGCAAAATTTTATTGGTAATTAATGCCAATACAAATTTTACTTACTTGATAATGTCTTCAAATAAGACTGCTGCGTCCGTCAAGAGAACATTGGGAAAGTCCTCCACAAGCAGTAGGCGTTTCCTAGGCTGCACCAGCAGCGATTTGTACCGTGAGGCACGTAACAAAAAGCTCTTGAACGCCTCTAGCTGAGAACCAACATAGTTGCCGCGGGGTTGATCGCCCAGCGCATCTATTACCTCACAATCAACGGGATTAACCCATTCCCGTAAATCATAGCCTGCCTCCTCGGCAAGAATCCGCACAGTAGCGGTTTTGCCTGCACCGGCTGGACCTGTTAATAAACATAACTGGGCAGGACACTTCTTTCGCACCGCTTCGCAGTGCCGAAACCAATCTCGCACTTCGGCTACTTTCTTTGCGTGAACGGCCAGATCTTCACTGGTAACAGGTGCAAAGCTGCCCATCCAATCATCCTTTGGGATTGGCGTTCCTGCGCTATTAGGCTGAGTTTCATTCTTATTTTCATTGACTGTGAGATCAACAAATGCAATTGTGTCTTCCGTTTGTAATTCGGTCCGCGTTGTTGTAGCTGCACTAGCACTGCGTGTACGAGCTGGTAACGTCGAATTGTCATCAATTTTTGGTGTAATAGATATCTGGCTAAACGCGGATCGTACCCAGGGTTTCTAAAGCAAGGATATAGTTTATAAATTTCTCTTAATCGCTTATTTAAAACTGTTACCTTGCGAGCGCTCATTTTATTAGAGTAGGAAGCTTGTCGATGACGATATCGATACCATTTGTAACCAACAAAACACTATTTATACATATTGTTACGACTACGCTTTTCCTCTTGGGCAACGCCGGCTGGCTCATCGGAATTCTCCTTGGGTGTGTGGTTCCAACCCTATGCCCGCGTGAGTCGTACAATAACCGATAACACGGTTCCTCCATCGATAAACAAAATGCCATCACTACAATAAATTCGACGCGCAATATACAAAACCGAATTCAAAACGTAAACAAACCAAAAAAACTAACATAAACTAAAAGAAACGTACTGCGACAAGAAAACAAATAAACGGATAACTCCCTCAAGCCATCCGTACGAATACGGGTGACTGTAAAAGGAGATAATATACGTGCGGACGGACAGGGATTGGAGGCATCGGACAACTGTATGGGATTTAGCTGTTGTTATCCCAGGCGTACCCTCCCTGCCTGTATCCAAAGCCAAAATGTTTCTTGGATACCCTATCTTTGGACCGTGCTTGGGCTATTCCATGGCACAGGTGAGTCTCCCGCCCCTACTGATGCTGCTTTAATGCATCATCACCAACGGTGCGACCATTAAAATTAACAATTAATTTTCAGTTTATGTGGCTACAAACATACATATATTTCAGTGTGATTGAGTGTGAGTGAAAACAATGTAAATATGGAACAATAATAATTTATATAAAAACAAAATAAAGAAGGCTTGCCAACGGCCAATGCGGTTCTTTATGTGCGCCAACATGCAAGTATGCTTATGGCAAATAAATATGTATATAGATATATGTGTATGTGTATGAGAAAAATATGCGCGGTACAAAAATTTATAGAAAAATGTCCAACCAAATCCTAACGAGAGCTCTCGACGGTCATGGGCGCAATAGAAATATAAGACTAATATAAAACACTGCGCGCTACTGCAATTGGCAATCTTCGTACAATATAAGTGTATAAGAGTGTGAATTTTTTATTAATTAAATAGAGCGCCAAGCTCTGTCTAGGTGCCACTTTCTGCCTCGTTTTGGTTTTAATGGTCTATGTATATATATTTTGTTTTATCTTCTTTTTTTTTCTTTTGCAGAAACTTCAATGGGGCGGCGTGTGGGACCCTGCAGGCGCAGCCCATACAAACGACACGACGTAAGGCGCGCGGGATCTCTGCCTGATGTCGCTGCTCAACCGCGAACAATAGGCACGGCGCGTGGCCAAGGAACGGACTCACCGGCTTGTCTATCCTCCGCTGCTGATGGCGCAGACGGACGTGTCTGCTGTTGCGTTGTGGTGGCGCCGCTATTGCTGCTGCCACTTCTTGGGTGGGCGCCTTTGCTCCGGCTGCCACTGTCGTTGCTGCTGCTGCCGTTGAAAACGCTGGTGCTGGATCTGCTGCTGTCGTTGTTGCTCCTGCTACGATGCGGCTCGTGCTGCTACTTATGACGGCCGCTGCAGCTGCTGTGTATGGTTCCACCGCTGTCCGAAAACTTGGCGATATGCCGGAAAATCTATATGCCAAGGAACAAAAGGCATTTAAGCACTGGTCGGCACATTTAAGTGGATATACAGGTATGTATACATCGGCATTAGTTCTGCCTTGCATCTATATCCTTATGCTCACCTTCGAACGGCTTCTGGTTCTTCCTTTCCTTTTTCAGGTTTCAGCACGGCCTCCAGTTCACCAAAAGAAAACACTGCCTCGTGGGTCTGCACCGTCGCCCCAAAAACAGGAATGGCGTGTTGCGGCTTGCCTTTTATAGGCCGGATGTCGTATGCCTGCGGATTTTTACGTCCTTGCGCATCCGTTCATCACGGCCTTGACGTTTCCCCACTTTGAGGTGCCATCGGGACACAACCCTGCGCCTGCGTGGCTGCAGTTGCCACCATGGTGCCTCGCTCGGTACCGCTAGATGGCGCTGCAGTACCTTTATAAATTCTTGGCGCCTTCCGTAGCGCTGCCACCTTTTATTCTTCGTGACCAGCCCGATGCAACACCACCGCAAATATCCAAGTGGGCGGACGCTCGTGCCCCGAAGTGATGTTTGCGCGCATCAAACGGCTGGTGTTGTTGGAGTCCTCTGCTTCGAGTCCGGCGTTGCCTCGGATGACTACTACCGCGGCGCCCAACGTAGGCCACACCCACTCTTGATCTTCAGGTGAGTAGCTCTGGCTGCATCCTCCTCCCTATATTCATCCATTTTGCCTTAGGACAGGCGTCACACTCGGATATCCTTTGCGTGGAATACCCCCAGCAAGTTCCCTTGCAAATCTTCCAGCTCGTATGCGTTGGTGCCGATGGATTTCCTTACGCGAGCTTTTAGAAATTTCCGCGCGAATTTCGCGTTGAACGCGCGGCTGAAATCACTCAATGCAAAGTTTCGCCGGTATACCTCCTGGCCGGGCGCTAGTCTTAGCCGCCGCGCACGCCGGTTATAGCGAACGCTACTGCGCTCATACGCCGCATGCAATTGTGCCTGGATTTTCTGTTGCAACAGGGATTGCCTGTCTGCTGTACTCAACGCTGCGAATTCGTGCTCGTCTAAGGACCTTAATTTCCTCGCCAATCGGTACTGCGAACCGTGCAACATCATATGTCGGCCGAATAGTGCGAAAAAAGGCGTTACTCCAGTCGCAGAATGCACGCTGTTTCTGATGGCCCTTTCAATTTCCGGAAGGTGTAGGTCCCACTCGCGGTGATCCTGCCCCAGATACGCCCGTATCGCGGACAGTATAGTCCGGTTCACCCTTTCGGACGCGTTGCTTTGCGGCGAATACACCGGTGTCCGCAGATGCTTAACACCGTAGCCCTCCATCATGTCTGCAAACTGCTTGGACGTGAATTGCTTACCATTATCGGAGTGTATGACTTCTGGAACGCCGAACGTATGGAACACTTCGTTCACCAAGAAGTCGACGACGCTCCGAGTGGTGGCCTCTCGCATCGCCTTCAGGAACGTGAATTTGGTGAAGTGATCTACCACTATGAATATGAAGGCGTGCCCCTTCCTTGATCGCGGATACTTGCCCAAGAAGTCTATGTATAACTTCTGGAACGGCCTCTCCGTGACGACTTCTGCACCAATTCCCACCTGCATCCCGTAATTGGTGGCTTTCGTCTCTTTGCAGACCACGCATTTTCGGACCACTTCAGCAACGTCTTTGGCCATTCCCGGCCAATAAAACTGCCGCCGCAACCAGGACAACGTCTTCAACACTCCTCCATGCGTTGACGCTTCGGTATGGGCCTTCGATATAAGCATGCCGGTTAGCGCACGCGGAACCCACAGTTTCCACACACTGCCTTCGAGCTGATCTTCTAGCCGATTGAAGGATGTCTTTTTGTAGATCACCCCGTTTTCAATTTTTAAATCAGGTAATTTATCTTTTTGACTTTGAATTTCGCTAATCAGCTCCCGATACTCCTCTGATTCGAATTCTGCGGTTTCTATACCCAACAGGTCTCCTGGGAAGAAATCCAACTCCTCTAAAGTTTCGGCTTCGGTGCTTCTGGACAGCATATCCGCCACGATGTTGTCGGAGCCCTTCCGGTGCGTGATTTCAAAGTCGAAGCCCTGGATCAGCAACGACCAACGAGCCAATCGCCCGGACAAATCCTTCATGGACATCAGCCATTTCAAACTGGCGTGATCGGTTATGACTGTGAATGGCATCATTTCGATGTATGGCCGGAATTTTTGTATCGCCAATACCGCCGCCAAGCACTCCTTCTCGGTCACCGAGTAGTTCACCTGGTGCTTGTTCATCTTGGCAGAAAAGAACGCAATGGGCCTCTCGTTTCCCTGCAAATCCACCTGGAATAATACGGCTCCGACGCCAATATGGGATGCGTCACATTGTACAAAAAATGGGCGTGAAAAATCCGCGTGTACCAGCACTGGCGCAGATGTGAGCGCCTTCTTCAACGCCTCAAATGCTGCAATCGCTTCGCCACCGAGTGAGAACCTACCTCCCGATCGCTTTTTCAAAGCCTCAGTGAGCGGAGCCGCTAAGGTGGCAAAATCTTTAATAAATCGCCTGTACCACCCGGCGGTTCCTAAGAAAGCTCGAACCTCCTTTACGGACCTTGGCACCTGTATGCGCTGTATCGCCTGCACCCGTTCTGGATCTGTTCGAAGCACGCCGCCGCCCACGATAAATCCCAGGTATTTCAACGTTTTAAAGCAAAACTTCGACTTTTGTAACCCTATCGTCAGGTTTGCCTTCTTGAGGCATTCAGCTACTCTCTTCAGGTACTCCAAGTGCGTATCAAAATCAGCCGCGAAGACTACCAAATCGTCTAGATATACTTTAACGTTGGACCTCAGTTCATTCGGTATGACCTTGTCCATCAGCCGGCACAACCTTTGAGCGGCGTTACACAACCCGAAAGGCATCATGCGGAATTGGTACAACGGTCGCCCTGGTACCGTAAACGCAGTGCACCTTCTACTGGACTCCTCCAACTCCACCTGCCAAAACGCAAATTTCAGGTCCACACTGGAAATATAATATGTCTGATCGATTCCAGATAGGATTCCCTCCACGCATGGTAGCGGATAGGCATCTTTGACTGTCAGTTTGTTCAACTTGCGGGCATCGAGGCAAAAGCGGTTCTTGCCCGGCCGTCGCACTATGGTGGTGCGGTTACTCCACGGACTATCGCTTACCTCGATGACGCCAAGCGCCAGCATGCTGTCCACCTCATCCCACACAATCTTCTGCATAGCGGGTGATAGAGGGTAGTGCCTGTCTTTCACTGGCTCTGCTCCGCTGACCAATTCAATTCGGTGAGTCTCCAAAGTAGTCTTGCCTAATCCCGCTTCTTCGAAGGTTAAAAATTCTTTTTTTACTTGTTCCAATTGCAGCTTTTGTTGTTCATTCAATTTCCACATATCTGGTTCAGGCCTTACTTCATCCTGGTCCGCATAATGCGCCACTCTATCAGCTAGCAATTCATCGAGGACAAGTCTTTTAACGGCTGGCTTTTCTGGAGGAATTAATAGTGGTGCCAAGTTAAACAGCCGCCAAAAGTCGATACCGAAATACGCGTTCTGTTCGAGTGATGGGCATACGTAAAATTCCAC